AAGACCAGTTTTGAGGCGACAGTAATGTCACCAAACAACGCGTCCCGTCGGGGGCATTCGGAGATGCCAGGGCGGTTCGGGAGCTGCCGGAGGTGGTGCGGCAGCGGAAGCCTGGGAAGCAAGGTGGGTGAGGAGATTGGTGAGGTTGTCTAGTTTCGCCTCAAGTGCGTCCATGCGCGTCAGCGTCCGGAGCAGCTCCGGTAGACATAGCGGGCGTAAAGACGACAAGAGCAGAGGAGGAGGGGTCAAGTGGCAGGGGCGGTGACGAGGGGGGGTACGGACTCGTACTCCGAGCCTGAGTCAGCGCCAAACCTGGCAATCTTGACCGGTTAATCCCGTAGAGAGTTTCTTCTGCTGTAAGGGCAACCCTGGAGACTCCGACGAAAGCCTAGCAGGGAGGATCCAAAGCGTGAATAAAAGCTACGGGAAATACACGGAGGGACCGACCTAGCAGGGGAGGATCCAAAGAGAAGAAACTCTAAGGGTCCGCCTGCTAGGGCGCCAACTATATACTGGTCGTCCGTAACTGCCGACGTAGAGCGCAGAAGGCCTGAGCGGCGTCGCAGGCTCTGTCCCCAGGTGATCGTTGGGAGGGTCTTGACGGATCGGTGATTGTGCGGGCGAAGGAGGCCGTGGACGATGGTCGGGGTGGGTCGGAGCGTCCGAGGGGGCGCCGGTCGGATGCGCCTCGGATGCGTTCGGAGGGTCCGAAGGAGGCCGAAGCGGGGGTTCCCCTGACAAGCGCAGCAACAAGCCCTTGTTTAAGTTGTTGTTCGCGACTCGGTCGAGGAAAGAAAGACAGAATCGCCGCTCAGGCTGTCACTTACCGGTGATGCAGCCGATGACAGTTCCCAAATCTGGGGGGGGGTCGAGGCACGTGTGGTTGTCTGTTGGCAGATCTGACGAATCTGCCACCTCTTGCTTGCAGGTGTCAAACAGTGGCTTGCGCCGCTTTTACCTTTGAACTAACACTCTTTGGGGTGATTTCCCTCTCAAAAGGCATCTGGTACTTGGTGAGATGTGTCAGTCTAAAACTTTCCTGCAAAACTCCCCAGGGCCTGAAAAACCCATATTTTGAGGAAGGTTTTCAGAATTTTTGTCTCAAAAACCCATATTTTGGACAAGGAAATCGTGATTTTTGGGCCTCAAAAACCCAAATTTTTGAATCACCCTTGGGTGGAGCTTCCCGGGTCCTATATATCTGTGGCGAATAGATCTGCCCGATACTGCTCGTCGATGTTGTGTTCTGGCGCACTCTTGTCCCCGCCCATAATGATGTCCTCCGAAATGGGACCAGCGGCCAATTGCTCCGGTGTGTACTGTCGCGACAGTCCAAAGTCGATAAAATAGTACTTGACAGGATGGTGAGTGCGGGAAGAGTGTTTGGCACGACCCGAGTTATCTGGTTTTGCGGTTCTGGTGCAAGGCATATGGGCTGATTATTATTATTATTATGGGGGTAGAGTGGTCCCCCATCCATCATGATGTTGTTCGGGTTGCAATCTCTTCAATATGGGTAAGTAGAGCCAAAGGCTCTTTCGACGAATCACGCACCGATGCGCGACACCGTGATGATGCATAAATTGCAGACCCTTTCGTTTTGCGCATCAACTCAGAAATCCCAAGTGCAGAAAACACATCAGTAAAAGTGCACAAAAGTCTTTCAGGTCTTTCTGGTCTTTGGGAAAGACCTGAAAGATCTAAAAGACCTCAGGTCTTATTTAAGCAGCGTCCTGGTCTTAGAAAAGACTTGATGTCTTTCCTAAAGACCCCCAAAGACTAAGGCCCTGCTCGGTGGCTCCGGGTACTGAGCCGTACCCAGCCAAAATTGTTCCGTATGGAAACGGGGGCGTATGGGATTGTTACCGTAACCAGATTTGCGTTCGGTGACAACTGGCCGGTGGTACCAAGCCCTTCGCCACTCTTTTCCTTCCCCTTCCCTTCCCTTCCTCGCCACCCAGAACGCTCGCCACTCCTCACCACATGACCGAGCCTGCCGAGCCAGCTGTCAAGAAGAAATCCGAGCGCTGTAACTGGCGTGACGCGGACGATGCCCTCTTGATTTCGACACTGCGTCATTGCAAGGCCGAAGGCCTGCAAACTGATAGTGGCTGGAAGCCTGGTGCATGGCCCCCATGTGAGAAGGCACTCGCTGACACGCCAGGCCCGCAGAAGACGGCCAAGAAGTGCCAGGATCACTATGGCACGGTGCGTCGTCATTCATGCTATCTTTCTGATTGGTGCTCAAGGGCTTGTCAGCTCAAGGCCCAGTTCAAGGAGGTCCGCGCACTCCGTGAGAAGTCAGGCTTCGGATGGGATGAGGGCTTGAAGATGGTCACCGCAATAGATGATGTGTGGGCCGAGCTGCTCAAGGTGTGTATTTTTGTTCCTCTTCGTATCCACTTGCTCATGTTTTGCGTAGAAGAATCCCTCTGCCTCCAAATGGCGCAAGACTCCCTTCCCCCTCTACGACGATATCTTGTTCCTTGTCGATGGCATCGTGGCCACCGGCGCTGGCGCTTTCCATGCCGGTGCACCTCCCAACACACTCTCCGAATCCCAGGGCCACGATGGCGATGACGAGGATGAGAAGGATGATGATGACACTCACTCTACTGCTGCCGCCTCATCCTCCGCAATCACCCCCATGCGCAATAACCAAAACTCGCGTGCATTATTCGATGATGCCCACCCTTCCTCGCCTTTTCCATCTACTCCCAAATCAAGCCGCAAGCGTGCTGCCTCTTCATCGCCGCAGAAACCTTCCACGCGCAAGAGTCGTCCCCGGAATGCTGACGCGACAAGTGCGATGGCAGCAGCAATGCGTGATGTCGCTGGTGCGATGAAGGGAAGCCCGGAGATTCGGCGGCAGGCAGTTGCAATGCTGGAGGATGATGGTGACTTTTCGGATAATGACAGCATTGCCGCAATGCGTCTGTTTACCAAGGACATTGCTGTTGCGCAAAAACCTACATTGCGTCGAAGAGCCAGAAGCGTCGTACTGCATACTTACAAGATTGTCTTGATACTGTATCATAATTTTAATATTTTTTCTTTATGTTACTCCGCATCTACTTCTTGAATAATAATACCCTTGCCTTGCAAGTATTCCTTGTAATCCGCCCACATGTGTCTTGCAATAGCATCACGTCGGGCAGACGCACGATTACGCTCCTCTGTAGTGATTGATATCCCAAGCTCTTCAGGTGAGATCTCCTGTGGCGTATTATCAACCAGGTCTCTCAACGAGCTCTCCCGATGTAATGTTGGTGACTGCTGTGTCGAGCTTAGAGGTGTAGGGTCTTGGGGCTCATCGGCATCGTCTTGGGCATCATAGACACGAATGAAGTTGTGCAGGGCGGAGAGGGCTAAGATGAGCTGTGCCTGTGTCTCCACCGAGTACTCCGGAGCACCACCACTGAAAATTGCCCATCGTCGTTTGAAAATGCCAAAAATCCGTTCAACAACATTACGGAGTTGGGCGTGTCGTAGATTGAAGAGCTCCTTGTAGTTCCGAGGCCTACAGAGTGATCAAGTCAGGTAAACAGAATGAGCAGACCATATACCGTTGGTTCACTGTCCCCCATTCCTTTAGATGGTATCGAATATTGTGGTATGGTGTCATGAGGACATCACAGAGTGGAAAACCAGCATCAGCCAGATAGAACTTCCCAGCCGGGACAGCGAAATCCCATTCCCGAGCATAGTTAAAGATGTGAGAGTCAGAGGCACTACCCTCCCAGCCAGTGAGCACATAGATGAACATGAGCGCAAAATTGCAGGCAGCAAGAACATTCTGGCCAATGAAACCCTTCCGATTGCGATACCCGGGGCATGGATGCCGCTGGCACCCAGGCGGTGAAATGCGAGCCGTCCATAGCACCTCGACACTCCCGAAAATATGGGTAGAACTTTCGAGACTCCTTCACCTCTGGTGGTGTGCTGTTTGGTGGGAGATGGACATGCTTTGTATAGAAGGAGCCAATGAGACAGTTGAGAATAGTATGGATAGACCTTGGAGAGTAAGTATGAGCTAGAAAAGGAGAAGGAGATACACACTTGCTGATTGTCTCTCCACTGCGCTGGAAACGCTCTTGTAGTTGGCGACTGCTGGCTCCAAAACAAGCAAGGTACAGGAATATTGCCAGTTTTTCGTTGGCAGAGACGTGTTTGGTTGGCGTAAGCCCCGAAAACATCTGTAGCTCAAATGAGAGGCGCAAAAAGACATGCTTCGCCATCCCCATTGAGCGATAAAATCGCAGGTCATGTCCGAGAAGCAGCTCATCCAGCCATTTCTGGCCAGTGAGAATCGAATTATGCATTGGTGTTGGTTCAATGAGCCGCATACTACAGGTGACAGTGAATGAGGCCATAAGACAGACCAAGGAAGCCAGGACTATTTGTTGTTGCCGCTGAGCAAGCTTCTTCTTGTTTTTAGCCCGCTCTTGGGCTAGGTTCACGGAGATAGACGTGTCAGATGATGACTGGGGAGGCATAGAACAGGTTTGAATGCAAACGACACGTCAGGGAGAGCAGGAGAAAGCAAAATAGCGCGTTTGATCTATGTAACATAGTGTGACTACTCGTGTTCCGGGTTTCCGATGAGATCCGGCATCGTTACCACTGCCAAGATTGACCTGGATACCATACCGCCAACGTGGGAGTCTGGCTGACGGTAGCCGAACCGTTGCCAGACTGGGTACGGCTCAGTACCCGGAGCCACCGAGCAGGGCCTAAGGTTAAGACCTGATTCAAGACCTCCAAAGACTCTTCAAGATGCAATAAAAGATTTCAAAAATCAAATAAATAACTGGTCTATAACATTGGTGTCTAGGCTAGAGCACCGTACTCGACTCGGCTCTGATGTCCCGCGTATGGGTTGTTCAGCGGGGGCAGGGGAAAGGCAAGCGGGAGGGGCGGGGGTGATCACCCTCCGGTGCGACCAGCGTCCGGAGCGCCGCATGTAACCGGCCGGACTGCCGTCGTCATCCTTGTGGGCACTAGGCGAGAGTATCTTGCGTCCGACTGTCAGCTGTTGGCCAAGCGAGGGATGGGCAACACTCACCAAAAGCCCCCAGGCCGTTCGCGCCGGTATTCACGGTCGCCGTCTTGCCGTTCCAGAGGTGGAAGTAGATCCCGCTCGCGCTCGTCACCTCGTTGAAGCCCATCGTTCGCGTAACAGTCGCGCCGGAGTTGGTAATGTCGGCGAATGCCTGATTGATATCGGCTGCGTTGTATCCCAGAAGCGCGGGCCAGTACGAGTTGGAGCTGTTAGACCATTAGCTATACTTCGTGTATAGTCACAACAAAACAGACCCAACGACAGTGAACAGCGAGCCGTTCAATGTGAAGCGTGTGCCAGAAGTTTTGACAAAGCCGGTTTGGGCAGGCTGTGACGCTGACGCGCTCACAGAGGAGCTTGCTCGGGTGCTTGAGCTGGAGCTTTTCACGGTCGCAGACGAGCTAGCGCTTGAGCATAGCGCCTGATAATTGACGCTTGACGACTTGGAAGAATGAGTTTGGTGGTCTGCATTCGCAGCCGGCAGGCTCTTGAGGACGGGAAAACTTGATTTTGGGAAGTAAAGGCCTTGAGGGTTGAGGAGATTGACTTTGAGCCGTTTGCGGCGGGAAAATGGGCAACAATTGGTTGGTGAGGTGGCGGGGGGATGGGGGGAAAGGAAGAAAGAAAAACGGCGATCGATCGCCGACGCTCATCAACCATCTATCATTCGCGTGGCGCCATCACGAAACTTTAGGGCCGTCTGTGATGGCACACTTGGCACGCATGCCACACTAATGTCATGATATTCTGAAACCAATTCATTATTGTCAATCTTCTTTTACATTATAAACTTGTATGCCAGCATACTGCTCAAGTTAGCACACTATTCACACATGTTTTTGTATATTATAAATTTTTATACATAAAGACACTGTAAAATTAAGATGTAAGACTGCATCCCAAGACCAAAGATCAGCAATTAAAGATCAAAGATCAGAAAGACCTCAACTTCAAGACCAAAGATCCTCTAAAAAGATCAAAGACCCAAAAGACTTTTGTGCACTTTTACTGATGCAGATCCAAGACTCACCTCAAAGATCTGTCTGAAATACTCAACAGCCTCGCCTATTGAATCAAAACGAGGACGGTCATAAGCCCTCAGGAGAGGGGTTACAAGAATAGCAATATTGGGTTCATTTGGCGGAGTCAACACGTCGAGAATGGCGACACAGTGGTTTGCAGGACTCGGTCCCAAACTAGTGAAGTATCTTGAAATGTCGACTTCATATGGATGGACGTCGGTCTTGATCTTCTTGAGCATTACTTGTGCCTTGTCGCGAAAGACGCACCGCATCCATGACATACGGATGCTGGATTGTTTATGAGGACACTCAGTTGGGGAGAGGATATTACCGGGGGCCTCCAAGAGTCTTCACAGAATATCTGAAGTGTCTTGGGGTTGCCTTGCCAGGAGGGAACCCACCCGGGCCGGAAACGAGGTCGAAGTTCATACCCGTTCTCCTTCAACCATTCATAGCGATCGCGCCAGTACAGTTCATGTTCACCTAGCTTGATGAAGGTATCTTCAAGCATGTAACGAGAGGATGCAGCTGAATGCTGGACAGTAGACGAAAACAATAAGATTTGAATAAGATGTCAGTTTATGTGGGCGACAGTTATGACGAGAATGGCTGACTTTCCATAAGGCCAGATTTCAGATTCGAAGCTTTCTAAACGGCAAGCCGAGCAGATGCCGGACAGCTGTCGGGACCCCATCAGCTTGTTACCTCACTTACAATCTGTTTTCTATCGTACCAGAGCTTATATCTGGAGGGGGGGTAGGGACCCCCCCTCCAGACTTTCTGAGCTTGTTCAAACCTGCATAGTCCGCCACATTCCCTCGGCAGCCCCTCGTTTGGGGCCGGCCATCTGTTGGTCCGGTTCGCGGACCGAGCCCGGATCATCTGCGTATATATCGAGACTGAAGTGCCTCGAAATTTTTGGCTGTGTTGTCGATGGTGGACAAGGGTCAACACGCTGAAAAGTGCCGAGCTGTCACAGAGGCATTACATCATTTACATCGTATTCTTGTACCGTTTATCTGAACTACAAGTGGCTTATGGGAACTCGCAGAAGATTCAACTAAATTTCTGCCGTCATCCACCACCTGGCACCGCTAGTCTGGCTAAAAGTAAGTTACAGTCTGGAGCCATAGGCGTTATATTTTTACAAATGCAACTAGCTGCAGCTAGTATAACAGTTGTCAAATACACTCAGCAGAGCTTTTTGTCACATATGTCACATTTCTTCAAAGGCTTATTTTATTTATTTAAGACTACTATTATGGTAATTGATGATGGAACTGATGGCATCTATATAATGTCATCAATGTGGAAACATTTTTGATTGTCATCAAAAGTTTTGATGATTGTAACCAGCTACATCATTTCCGTCCAAATTGAGAATATTAATTATTTTCTATATATATAGTCTTCCAAATTATATAACGGAGCCTGAGCTTATGGAAAGTCAACCAATGTTCATGTGACTGTTGTTACGTTTCCCTTTCAAAGCATCCGAAGTAGGGAAGTCCTCTAGAAACGCAATTGCAGACCGCAATTGAGCGACGTCTATCGGAAAATCACACGACAAAGTGGAACGCTCGCGTGCATAGTATGTAATCCGCGCTCAGCCCTGCCTGCAATTACTTGTATTGCATTCCACAACTTGAGACACAAGTCCTGCTCAAGTCTAGATCTGCATTGCGTTGCATTGCGACTCCAATATTTGACCGCTGAACCAGAACTTGAAAGCGTACTAGAGGGGTCACTACTCCTGTAGTTTGCTTGGCTACTGAGTTGGATGCCTTTTCTGAGCATCTGGCCCTTTCTGTAAGGGCAACCCTGGAGACTCCGACGAAAGCCTAGCAGGGGAGGATCCAAAGCGTGAATAAAAGCTACGGGAAATACACGGAGGGACCGACCTAGCAGGGGAGGATCCAAAGAGAAGAAACTCTAAGGGTCCGCCTGCTAGGGCGCCAACTATATACTGGTCGTCCGTAACTGCCGACGTAGCGCGCAGAAGGCCTGAGCGGCGCGGCAGGCTCTGTCCCAAGGTGATCGTTGGGAGGGTCTTGACGGATCGGTGATTGTGCGGGCGAAGGAGGCCGTGGACGATGGTCGGGGTGGGTCGGAGCGTCCGAGGGGGCGCCGGTCGGATGCGCCTGGATGCGTTCGGAGGGTCCGAAGGAGGCCGGGGGGGGTTCCCCTGACATCACCCCCCCTTTGAATGCGGCGTCCCGACGCTATAATACGGAAGGGCAGCGAGTCGAAGGTTGCTGAGGCGATGTGCCGTGGTTTACCCGGGTATCTCCGATAGAAGTCCGCAATCTTGTCTGGCGCAAAGACACGGTCGAACCGAACCCACGAGTCGTGTGAAGGCATCGTAGCCTTTCCACCTGACGAAATAGTTAAGACGTTTATACCTTATCCTGGCATCCAAGATTTCCTCGACTTCCCATTCGGGAACTCCGTCCTCTAGTTCGGGGCGGTTCGTCAGTAGCCGGGTCGTCCGTCGGAAGGGGTCGTCCTGAGCGGGCTCGAGCTTAACAACGGGAAGACGGGGTGGAGCTTGGAGTAACGCGGGGGAGGTCTAGCTTGTAGGCACCTTTGCTAACCTCTGCGAGCACCTTGAACGGTCCAAGGCGCTTGTGGGAGAACTTCTCGGAGGGCCGAGTCGTTCTAATGTCAGAGGCGTCCAACCAAACCTTATCACCAACTTGAATCTTCGGAGCGTCCGAACGTTTCCGATCGTAGTACCGTTTATACTCGTCTTTGGCTTTAACGAGTGCGGCCTTTGCCTCGGAGACGCCGTTAGCTATCCGATCGCGAAACTCGTTTACCGACTCCAACTCTGAGCGGGCGCCTGGCTCGAAACCCATTCGGGGAAGCCGGCCAGTGTCCGTCATAAAGGGTACCTGTTGAGTGGAGGAGTGAACGTGGTTGTTATAGGCGAACTCAGCGGCAGGGATAAGCTCGTCCCAGTCGTCTTGTTGGTAGTTGGTGAAGATCCGGATGTACTGCTCGAGCTCTTGGTTAACGCGCTCGGTTTGTCCGTCGGTTTGCGGGTGGTAAGCCGTGGAGGTAGCCGGTTTGACGCCAATTAAGCGCCAGAGTTCGCGCGTGAAGTCAGCGATGAACTGCGAGCCACGGTCCGAAATGTACTTCTCGGGGGTTCCGTGGTGCCTCCAGACGTTCCGATAGTACAAGCGGGCAGCTCCGACCGCGTCTATTGTCGTATGGCACTCAGTGAAGTGGGCGCGCTTTCCGAGGGCGTCGACCACTACCATAACTGCGTCATACCCATGGGCCTCGGGCAGCTCGACAATGAAGTCTACAGTGACAGTGTGCCAACGTTCGGGCGGGACTTCGGTCGGATGGAGCTCTCCATGCGGAAGCCTTCGGAGGGCCTTCGTGGCAGCATAAGTCGCAGGTCGCGACGTAGCGTCCGATATGGCGAGACATCTGCGGCTACCAGTAGTTGCGCGAAACCAACTCTAAGGTCTTGAACCGCCCGGCGTGTCCGGCGACTCGCGTATCGTGGCAGAGCTCGATGATGCGCCTCCTTAGGTCCTTGTCTTTAGGGACTACAACCTTGCCGCGGAAGTACAGGAGGTCGCCGGAGACGGCCCACTCGTCCGAACGTGATGAGCGGGGGCCCCGAACTTGACCTCGGACCTTCAAGAGTTGCCGGGCCGCAAGCGCGACGGGCTCCTCTAGGTCAGGCTCACCGGATAGCGCTTCCTTGATGTCGCGGACAAGTTCGGAGCCAGGCCCAGAGACGGTGACGGCCTCAAGCGCGAACGTGGAAACAGTTCGGGGCGTAAGAGGGTGACATCCGAGTTGTCGTCGGAGATACCGTGGTCGGGCCGGGCGAGAGAGAGCATCGGGACGGCCCATCTGGCGACCTGGGACGTGGTGCAGCGTAAAGTCAAACCTGGAAAGGTACAACGACCATCGGGCTTGCCGACGGTTAAGGTGCCGTGCCTTTCGGAAATACTCCAAATTCTTATGGTCAGTCCAGATCTCGACCGGATGCGCGGCGCCCTCGAGGAAATGCCGATACTCCTCGAGTGCGGATGATCGCGAGCATCTCCTTGTCGTGAATCTCGTAGTTGCGCTGGACATCATTTAAGCTTTTGGAATAGAACGCTACAGGGTGCCACTTCCCGTCCGGGGCGGATTGTTGTGAAAGAACCGCCCCGTCGCATAATCTGAGCTGTCTGCTTCAAGTCGGAAAGGCCGGGAGTCGTCCGGGATCGCTAAGACGGGCTCTGAGACGACCGCGTCTTTGATAGCTTGAAAGGCGGCGGCCGGCGTCTCCCCAGGTCCATTTCTGGTCTTTCTTGGTGAGCGCAAGAGGGGTTGCGCTAGGGCCGAGAAATCCCGAATGAACCTGCGGTAGAAATTAGCAAACCCCAGGAACTGCTGGACGTCCTTCTTGTTCTCGGGCGGAGGCCATGCGGAGACTCCGGCAACCTTAACGGGATCCATTTCGACGTGGTTGTGAGAGATGATAACCCCAGGTACTCGATTGACGATTTCTCGAAGTCGCACTTCTCCTTGCGAAGGTACAGCTTGTGCATTCGAGTCGCCGAAGGACTTCGGACGATCTCGCGGTGGCTTACGGAGGTCCGAATGCGCGATAAGGATATCGTCGAGGTAGATCATGACGTCTCCTGAGAGAATGAGATCCTGGAAAATGTCATTCATCATCGTTTGGAAAGTCGCGGGGAGTTCGTCAGGCCAAAATATCATCACCAAAGGTTCGAACAACCCTCGGTTGGTCCGAAAGGCCGCCTTCCACTCGTCTCCTTCTTTAATCCGGACGTTATTAAAGCCCCAGCGAACGCCGAAGTTTGGTGAAGTAACGGGCGCCCTTAAGCCTGTTGATAAGGTCATTAATCAACGGGAGGGGGTACCGGTTCTTAATCGTCATTGCGTTGAGGGCGCGGTAGTCCTGGACAAACCAAGTCCTCCGTCCTTTTTCTTAACGAAGAAGACGGGGAAGCCATCGGAGATTTCGAAGGGCGGATACGGCCTGTGGCAAGTCCCTCCTCGATGAACTCGTCAAGTTCGCGCTGTTCAAGGGGGGAGATCGGATACACCTTGCAATTAGCGGGCTTCGCGTCGGGGACGAGTTCGATAGCGTGGTCCCAAGCCCTCCGCTCTGGTAACGTGTCGAAGGACTCCTTGTCAAAGACGTCTTGGAACTCCTTGGCCCAGTCCGGAATCTCCGAAGGCGGGGGGCCAAGTTACGGGCGAAGGCCTCTGCAAGGCATTGGGACACGGTGCTCCCAGCGCGAATCTCCTCGATTGGGCGAAAGGAGGTGTAGAAGATGCGGTCGCCGTCTTCAAGATGCTCGTCGTCGTCAAGGTCTGGTGAGCGCTCCGGAGGGTCCGAAGGAGCTCCGAAGTTCGTCGTCGGCATCGTCTGGGCCAGCGATATCGATAGCGCAAACGGTGGGGGAAGGCGCCCGCAAAGTAAGCGATGTTAAGGAGTCGGAGGCGGCGAACCTCAGCGCGCTCGGTCCGTTCCTCGTCGCGGCAGGTGGAGCAGCTTCGGGGCAGCGGCTCATTTTCACCTCCTTTGTTTCCCAGTTGATCTCGGGGTTATGCTTTTGAGCCAGGAGTACCCGAGTATCAAGTCCTGTTTCCCAAGGTGGGTTACAGCCAGCTGAACGTGTTCGGAGTGTCCGTTGTATCGTAGGACCAGGTCCGCGATTTGGCGAATAGACCCAGCATCATTGGGGGTGCCGTCGACATTGTAGACCGGTATGGGTACTGAGAGATTTCGGACTGGCACGTTGTTTCGGTTGACGTATTCTGTGTCGATAAAGTCCGGGTGGCTCCGCAGTCGACCAGACCCGAGAGGGAGAGCTTGAGTGCGTTCGCAGTGGACTCAAGTTCAAGGGGGGAGGTGCAGCGAGTTAACGCCAGGAGCGGCAGAGATGGTATAACTGCCAGGTAGCTTTTTCTCCCAGGCAAGTCGGCGTATCCGAACGGGGGGCTTCGGAGGGGGCAGGGGGTGCGTCTTTCGTTTCAGGCTCGTTGTAAGGCAAGGGAGTTGATTCATCATACAAACAAGTGAAACGATTTATGGACGCGAACGAGGGCACACCAGTCACTCGTCGCCAGGGGACAAAATCCTCTGCCGGAGCCTCCGAATGCGCTTCTGCTAAGGCCGCGGTGTCGGACAACCCCGCAAGTAGCTCTCCCAGCATCTCATCGCCAAGTTGCTGGATCACCTCGTCGAGGATGTCCATATGGCGAACATCGGCGGGGAGCAGACAGTCCCGAGCCAAGTGATTGGGGTCGCCGCATCTGAAGCAGGCTCGACGAGGGGCGCCCGAGCCCTAGTACGATCCAACTCCATAGGGACGGGAGCCGGAGGTACCGGGACGGGGCGCGGGCCGGGGTGGCGCAGGTGCGGCCACCGGGCGGATGGGGAACGGAGTTGCCGAACGAGTGATGGGGAAGGCGCCGCGCGGAGCTCCCGGCGGTCCGCGGGGTAGCCGTTCCCTTAATGAGCTTCGCCGCACCAGGGCTTCATATTGTCGGAAAGCCCGAGTGCGCCAGCCTAGATAGTCACGGAGGTCTGGGGGTCGTTCAAGAGGTGATGCCGTTGTTGATCAAGGGGTCAAGTCCGTGGCGGTACTTGGTTACCTTAACCAACGCGTCTTGAAGCCAGCAAGGTCCATCAAGTCCTCGAAGTCGTCGGTATATCCGTAGACATCCCGCGTTCCCATGTGATAACCCGCGCTTTCCAACTTAGCGAGCGAGGGTCCTGTTCGTTCTCCTCGACGAACCGAAGGCGAAACTCGGAGAGGAACTGGCTCCACCGAGGGAAGGGGAAGGGGTTTTTGCTCCCATGACGCTCTGCCCATTGCTGAGCAGGTCCCTCCGCCATATAGGACATGGCGTAGCGGACGGCCTTTTCTTCGCTCGGCTCTCCGTTAACTACGAAGGCCTCCGGGGCAAGCCGAGCGTAGGTTTTGACCGCGTATAGGAAGGCGCGGCCGCTTCGGATCTCCGTTAAACGCAAACGGGGGGTTTGGTCGTAAGACCAGTTTTGAGGCGACAGTAATGTCACCAAATAACACATCCGCGTCGGGGGCATTCGGAGATGCCGGCGGCGGTTCGGGAGCTGCCGGAGGTGGTGCGGCAGCGGAAGCCTGGGAAGCAAGGTGGGTGAGGAGATTGGTGAGGTTGTCTAGTTTCGCCTCAAGTGCGTCCATGCGCGTCGTCAGCGTCCGGAGCAGCTCCGGTAGACATAGCGGGCGTAAAGACGACAAGAGCAGAGGAGGAGGGGTCAAGTGGCAGGGGCGGTGACGAGGGGGGTACGGACTCGTACTCCGAGCCTGAGTCAGCACCAAACCTGGCAATCTTGACCGGTTAATCCCGTAGAGAGTTTCTTCTGCTGTAAGGGCAACCCTGGAGACTCCGACGAAAGCCTAGCAGGGGAGGATCCAAAGCGTGAATAAAAGCTACGGGAAATACACGGAGGGACCGACCTAGCAGGGGAGGATCCAAAGAGAAGAAACTCTAAGGGTCCGCCTGCTAGGGCGCCAACTATATACTGGTCGTCCGTAACTGCCGACGTAGAGCGCAGAAGGCCTGAGCGGCGTCGCAGGCTCTGTCCCAAGGTGATCGTTGGGAGGGTCTTGACGGATCGGTGATTGTGCGGGCGAAGGAGGCCGTGGACGATGGTCGGGGTGGGTCGGAGCGTCCGAGGGGGCGCCAGTCGGATGCGCCTCGGATGCGTTCGGAGGGTCCGAAGGAGGCCGAAGCGGGGGTTCCCCTGACACTTTCGAGAAGATATATAAATAAAAAAACTTGGTGCTTTCAGCCCCAGCCTCGCTGGCGTGCAGCGTCCATAGTTCAGGATGATGAGAGTTGGAGCATGATTACAACTGCCCACATGTATCTATCGGCAGTTGACGACAGGAAACAAGATGGCATAAAAGTAGACAACAACTCGGTGAGCGGTGCCCACAAAAGCAGACAGAGGTCAACAGTTTTGAAGACGACAGGTCCTTGTTGTTGTAATTTAATTGGCAAACGCTGGCGGCCATCTCTTTCGCGGCGTCTTGCTGGCTGATGGATCTTCGGCACGCTAAGGTAGCATAATATTATCGGAACCTATCTTCAAACTGCCCAAATACAATGGCACTCAACGCCGATACCTGCCGAACCCCCAAAATGTTCTGCAGAACGTTAGCCGCGGAAACGAGACCACCAAGACACGCACATCAACCAACTCATTGGGCACTCCGTTCAACGCCAGATCACTCCAACGCGCAAGGCCAGGGAGTAGCCCGGCCAACCGTATCCGCACTTCCTCGCCAGGAGCAACTGTGTCTGCTGACGGCGCAAAGACGGCGTTCTCAACGGAGGTCAGCAAGACATCGGTTGCATGGTCGAGACAAGCTTCGAACACGAAAGCAAAGTCTGATGAAGAGACGAGGTCACGGGTCTCGTTGAGCAGTGCGGTGAATGGATCTGGTTGACCTGGGGAGAATGTGGCTGAAAGAAGGCGAGAAGAGTAGCCCCCTTGTGTCAACACATGTTGTGTTGTTTCGGGAGTTTGCGGGAGTAGGGTTGTGTGGAAGCTAGGGACAGTGAGCCTACATCGCAAAATTTGGGAGATACGAACTTGGCTTTACGCTCTGTGCCTTCAAATGTCACCTCGTGCTCCACGCGACGCCTGACATCGTACATGAGACGATGGAGGTCGGAAGGCGATAGTTTTGTCTTTAGAGAAACCCCACTAAAAACTTCCTCGACCCCTCTGCGCACCCGCTCACCAACATCTTTCCAGCCAACGTGCAAAATCCACCACGTCAGAGTTAGATATTTTGCTGAAGCAATCTCGTCTTCCTCCTCGTTATCCTCAGTTGGTAGCTTGAAACCGGCGGCATGGTCACCCTCCTCTTCCATCCCCGGAATTGCGCCCATAAGCGACTCCATTCCTCCCACCAGGCCGATGATCATGCTCAAATCGGGCATGAAGGAATGTTGCAATCGTTGTTGCTTTTCGAGTTCAACGACAGAGCGCACATATCTGTTGCGAGCGAGCAGCGTAAGCTGAATGACAGTGAGAAGTGAAAGTAAGGTCGTGGTGTACATGGTCGTGAGGGTTCTTGTGAATGCTAAACTGATGATGAGTCTCCGAATGCCGAGAAATTGAGGCACGCACTGAGCATTTTTAGCTCGTTCCACAGTTCTGCCTTCGTTGGTCGCGAAGATTCTGAGCCACTTGCGCTGTCGACAGCAGACTACCCATAGAAATGAATGGTGAAATACACAGACCAATCATTCTCACTCACCCCTTGAAAGCTCACATTAGAGCTCGAGTCGGTATCGGTTGATGTTGTCGTTAGTAGCGAATCGCTGAGCTGTAGCGGCGCTACAGACTCTCCCAAGATCATCTCCCGACTCTCTCCAATCTGGCTCGTTTCGACCCAACTTGTTGTCGACATTGATCCAGTATACGACGTTTCGGACTCCGAGCGTGACTCGGGACGTGTTGGATTCGGCATTTCGAGGCTATTGGCAAGTGAAGATGATGTAGAAGCCGTTAATCGCGCCTTTGAATGCGCTTGCAGTTCCTGCGTTATGGAGTCGACATCCATTTCGCGCAGAATTTGCTCAGACAGAGCAGGCAAGAGCATTAGTACGGTGTAGGATATATCGGATTGCGTTTGGAAGAAGCGACGCTTGAGACTATCAACCGTCAAGCTTTAGTTCAATAAAAATTGAGTCGCGTACTTTTCACGAGCCACGCGTTCTTGGTCCATCTGCTCTTTTACATCCTCTAGCCGGTCAGAGATATAGTTCCTGACGAAATACGCAGCACCGACAAAGCCTACGGCTTTGGGAACGTTGATTCGTGAGCGTAGAGCATCGAACATAGTTATTCGGCACTGCGGGGTCAGAAATGCGTGGGAGTAGGTGGGAGTGGTTGCCCTATGAAGACCCAATGGCGTGCTGACGAGAAACAAGATAGAAACAGGTTTATCCCGAGAGTCAACGAGTACAGTGGTGGGTCAAGGGTGGAGGGAGAAAGTAAGCCGGACACTATCACGTTCCCAACATCAGACTTGGTGACAGAATCTTCTTTTCCTTTCACTCCATCATGGTATTGCCTACTCCTCGTCGACCAATCTCTGAGCGCTCACAACCTCGCCTATTTAGGGTGGCGGCGGCAGATACCCGTACCCGAAATTTGTCTGGTCACCTGCTGGCGGTTGGTGGGGTCAGCCCGCAAACTGGAAGATGAACACTTTCATCGTTTCGTGTGGAATGGCATTTACATGTGCCGCAATTATCCGCGCAGTCGCGCATAGAGAGGTTTGCGCTGCTTGATTTCAGACGGAGGGTATTCTCAATTTCGGGTTTAGGCGGAACTAGCTGGTGAACCATTAGAACGGAGACGAGTGCGTCCACATCTGTTCTTTCTCTTATTTCCCCGATCTGACTATTTCCCACCAGCTCACTACCACATGGGTCTGTGTAACCTGTCTATCCCTCAAGCTTGCTGACGACTCTTAGCGAGAATATCTCCACAAAAGATATGCCAAACCAGTCGAAATCAAGGCAGCTGCAGGCACTGAGGGCGATAATCCTACAAGTGAAACGAGCGCGACGGAGTAATCGTGTTGGTATATAGGGATGCAATGGCTGAGAAATAAACCAGATTTTATTCTTGCATCCCCACAGAAAGTCAAATGGTGCTAACTGCGTTGTCCTCGTCATTTCAACTGACCGAAATTCTCATTCTAATCTGGTCCACGCGGCAGTTGCGACTAATTCGGGTCGTGCTCCACGATGACTTCAAATCTTACTCCCCAGCTCCTCTCATCAGCGCCCCCACCATGACGTCGACAGCAAATACTCTCACTCCCGGCTTTCCTTTAAAAGCGACGCATTCCTTCACTCATCTCCAAACACCCACCTTAGCCCTCTTACTCTGTTCCAGTCGCTCTGACTCTTTCAGTCGTCATGCCCTTGTTCAAGTCCCAACCAACTCCCGCTGAGGAGCGCGTCGTTCCTGTTGATAATACCCCAACCCGAAAGCATACCCTATTCGGCCGTCGCCGTTCTGTCTCTCCATCCAGAAGAACTACAACTTCTCCTACCAGACGTGATGTCGACCAGCCAGTTGACGGCACTACCCGCCGCGGAGGCTTCTTCGGTGGCCGCCGACGCTCAGTCGAATCAAACGAGGACCGACGCAGCATTGGTCGCGCCAGTAGTATGACAAGTGGTCGTACCAATGGCAGTGTTCGCAGCGGCAATGGAAGTGGGTTCTTTGGGAGGAACAACATCCTCAAAGAGTCTATCCATAAGGACCCCAGCATCATTGCGGCGAAGGAAAAGGTACTTATCTCATCTGTCCTGAGGCTTTTTCATGAGCAATCTTGCTGACTTCGCGACAGGTCACATTCGCTGAAAAGGCCGAAGTAGCAGCAGACGAAGCTCTAGTCCAAGCTCGTGCAATGGTTCGTGAGGCAAAGGACCATGTGCGACTGCTTGAACGAGAAGCCGCTGAAGAGTAAGTTTCTTCGTCTGCTGCTTGTTGTCCATCTGAATGTATTGCAGAGCCAAACGCGCCAAGGCTAAGCAGGCAGTCAGCAACGACATCAGCAGGAGTGCTGGTGGCCTTGGGCGTCATGGAATGTAATCTCAACTTGAACGACAAAGTAATGACCACTTCAATCTTCCATGCGATGACTGTATACCCAGTACTAGTCTATAATTTACCTTACTCTATGTAAAAACATCAACGGACATGAATACCACACCAGTTCTAATAATTATAACCAGACCATCGACCTTGCAATCAAGTTGCACAACTTTGCTAGAATTTGTCGGTCACCATCACGTGCTCCTTTGATTCATGCTTGCTTCTCTTCAAGTTCCTCGACCTTTACTTCTGGGAATACTCATTGGATTCTCCATCTCGGTATCATCGACTGCCGTATTCGATTACTTTCAGCGCAGGCGACGAAGGATAGCCTCTACCCAAGAGGAGCTAGCACCTGCTTCAGACAACCGACCGATTGAGCTCCGAAAGGACGACGTTCTTGATGGCGTTGTGGGCCTCATAGGTGCGAAAAGAGCAACACAATACATACTACCGACTTACAATCTTCAGGAAATACCCCTCTTATCCGTATCGCGTCTCTTTCTGATGCTTTGGGTGTTGACATCCTCGCAAAAGCAGAGGCATGTTTATCACACGCGTTACTAACGCTCATCTGATGCCCTTTCATAGTTTCTAAACCCTGGAGGCAGCGTTAAGGACCGGGTGGCTGTTCGCAGTGCGTTTTCAGTGGAACTGCTTAAAACACTAGTTAACTTGTTCAGTCATTGACGATGCGGAGCGTCTTGGACTTCTCTGGCCTCATAAAGGATATCGGATATTTGAGGGCACCTCTGGGTCTACCGGAATATCTGTGGCCATGGTGGCTCGTGCAAAGGGCTACGATGCTAGTTCGTGTCTTGGTCGCTGTTGTATCACGCTTTGACTCGTTTCTAGCCATCATCACACCCGACGACATGGCCAAGGAAAAGCTACATGCGCTGCTCACACTAGGCGCAGATGTAGAACAAGTACGGCCCGCAAGTATCGTGGACAAGAAACAAGTGCGTGCTCTGTTAAATGTAACGATCCTTTTAACACAAGCTGCGCACAGTATGTTGTCGGTGCCATCGAGAAGCTTTTTCGTGACCACGTCTCATCTAACTCTAGAATATCGCTCGACAACGGGCTCTACAATTCGCTCCTTCTATATCTAACGACGACCAATCCGAATCCGTAATTGTAGAATCTGGTCCGCGCCATGGCTTCTTCGCAGATCAGTTTGAGAACAAGAGCAACTATGACGCGCATTTCACTGGGACAGGTCCAGAAATCTGGAGGCAGACCAATGGAGATGTTCGTGCTTTTGTGAGCGGAGCAGGTGGGTCCTATAGCTGTACCCAGCAGTGAACTAATCGGTTATGTCAGGAACCGGCGGAACTATTGCCGGAGTTGGCCGATTTCTCAAGGCAAGGAACAAGGATATCGTGGTATGTTTGGCCGACTGCGAAGGCAGTGGGTTGTACAACAAGGTACGGCTTGCTAGACCGTTTTATTTCTTACTTACTATGCCCAAGGTAAAACACGGGGTTATGTATGACCATCGAGAGAAGGAAGGCACGAAGAGGCGGCACCAGGTTGACACAGTGGTCGAGGGAATGTGAGTGGTCTCTCTTTGCCTCCCTTATATTATGTTCCTCATTTAACGCAGTGGTCTGAACCGGCTAACCAAGAACCTCGAGCTCGCCTTGCCAATCATTGACGACGCCGTCCGGTATGAAAACCCTCAGCTTGGTTCTAGCTTGGCTCATCCATGCGCAGTGTAACAGACCCGGAAGCAGTCGCTATGGCACGCTATCTGGTTAAACACGATGGCCTCTTCGTTGGCTCGAGCAGCGCTTGTAACCTTGTTGCCTGCGTCCGCCTTGTCCGCAAAATGGGATGGAGTCGTGGTGAAAGAGTTGTCACTGTTATGTGCGACTCTGGGGCAAGGCATTATTCCAAAGTAAGAGTGTGTTTCTGGCCATCATTTACTCACTCACAATTCGATGTAGTTTTGGTAAGATGGGCTGTGTTCCGACCACATTGCCTCTAATTATTCATATTAGGAACGACGAATATTTGCACAACGAGGGCATTCCCATCGACATCGGTGTTGTCGAGAAGATGTTGGGTACGGAAGGGAGTCTATACAGTGCCATGCTCGAGCGATCTCAGTCGGAGGAAGATCGCAGGCTTTCCCATATCACTTTGGTGTAATCTCGAACCAACTCCCCCCATGAGAATGGCTGCTTTCACTCGACAACATGTTGCTGATTGTCGGCGCGCGACCGAGTGTTGATATTCCCACGCCTACAAGCCTTGACACTTCGCATTGACAATTGAAGAACAAGGACTGTCGATACTTGTGTTGACATACGTACATGTCAACACAAGATAACTCGACCACCTAGAAACTCTCCACCACATGGTACGAGGACCAACTGAAACACTCGTCAAGGTAGATCCTTTCGCCATCCTGAACCCTGGAGAGCTTTACTGGCGCGACCACTCCGAATGGCTCGAACAAGTTTGTGGCTATCGACTCCGACCACGCTTCCGTCCAGATTGGGTACCGTCGTGGCATGCTGACCCTCGGAAAGCACCATTCAGAATCATCTGTGAAGATGCATGGTCACCCTTCGTGCGTGCTCAATGCACATCGCCTTGACCAAGTTCAACTCACTCTCAACTATACTTATGATAGGCCCAAACTACCGTCGATGCCGTTCGTATTCGCGACAAAGCTGACGTTTTCCTGAAGACGGTCAATTTGGTGCGCCATCCCCATGAAGTGGAAATCGGCCGGTTTCTTACTTCGCTTGGACCGCAACGGGAAAACCATTGTGTTCCTATTCTTGAAATACTGGAACCACCCGACTCCTCAGGGACCGTCATACTCGTCATGCCTCTGCTCAGGTCATACGACAGCCCGAAATTTGATACCTTCGGGGAGGTAGTCGAAATGTTCAGACAGCTGTTTGAAGTCAGCGCCAAACATCGATTTCTCAAGCTATAGCTAATTATATTGCCTCGCAGGGCATGCAATTCATGCATAAACATGATGTCGCCCATCGGTATTTCATGTCGTCTTATAACCCCACTTGTTGTGCCAATAACTGACTCTAGTGACGCTCATTGCCTCAACATCATGATGGACGGCGCACGACTATTCCCTCACGGCTTCCACCCAGACCATCAGCACCTCAAGCCGGACAAATACTCAGACGCAAGCCACACGACGCGCACATGGATCCCCGTCAAATACTATTTTGTAGACTTTGGTATCTCCCGCCGTTATGCGTCTGCTCAGCGCGAAGGCGAACTATGGGAACCAATTATCCGCAGCGGTGACAAAAGCCCGCCTGAACACGATGGAATGGTTTCTGCAGACCCGTTCCCGACAGACGTTTATCTCTTGGGAAACTTCATCAAGACTCAATTCATCGAGGTTTGTGTCTCTTTCCTATCACAACTTGTCTCATTTTCTTTCGTCAGGGCGATGGCGTAATTTCCTTTGGCTTCCATGGGTTCAAGTTCATAACTGCATTAGTGCAGGAAATGACCCAGACCGAGCCGACCCACCGACCCACCATGGATGAGGTTGTTGTTCGATTCGCGGATATCCAGAAAAAATCGAGTTGTTGGAAGTTGCGTTCGCGTGTCGTAGGAAAGAAGGAGAGTCGATGGATGAAACCCCCTCGGCTAGTCATGCACTGGTCCCGTCGTTTCAGGTCGATTGCAGTTCGCAGACCACCTTTACCGGTACCTTCAGATTGAAAACAGGTCATGTCTCTGTGGCCTCTAAGAGTAGTAATATATGCCGAGTGGGGGTTTGTATTCGAAAACGTGAGTATGCAATGCGTCGAGTAAATGTGTGAGTAAGGTGCTGTTAGTACTTTTGGCCTATCATCCTTGAAGCCCTCTAGAATCCGCCCATTCCGCCCATACCTCCCATTCCGCCCATACCACCGCCCATACCACCAGCCGCCGGCTTGTCGTCTTCAGGCGCATCGACGATGCAGGCCTCGCTCGTTGTCAGCAGGCTGGCAACACCGCTGGCATCAACGAGAGCAGTTCGGACAACCTTGAGCGGGTCGACGATACCAGCTTTGACCATGTCCACGTATTCACCCTTGGCCGCGTCGTAACCCCAACCAAATTTACCGTCACCGCTGTGTTGGCTGAGGAGGGTGCCAACAATAACGCTGGCCTCCTCGCCAGCATTGTTGAGGATGGCCCGAGCAGGAGCAGTGAGAGCTCGGCGCACGATGGCGACACCGAGTTCTTGGTCAAAGTTGGCGGTGGGAATGGGTTTGGCATCGGGTGATGTCGGACCAGCGGAAGATGATGAGGAAGTTGAGGGGGAAGAAGTCGCAAGGAGTAAGCTGGCTTTGAGCAGAGCGACACCACCGCCGGGAAGAATACCCTCCTCAACGGCAGCACGGGTAGCGTTAAGAGCATCATCATAACGATCTTTCTTCTCCCCAACTTCAACTTCGCTCGCACCACCGACTTTGATGACGGCTACACCGCCAGAGAGTTTGGCCAGACGTTCTTGAAGTTTCGTGCGGTCATATTCGCTGGTTGTGGGGTCGGCAATGAGAGCACGGATTTGCTCACAACGGGCGCTGATTGAGTCCTTCCCACCATCACCGTTCAGGATAATAGTGTCCTCCTTGGTAATGGTGATGCTTCCAGTTGTGCCCAGCATGTCGGGGGTAGCGTGCTCGAGTTTGACATCAATCTCGTCAGTGAAGACGGTACCACCGGTGAGAATGGCGATGTCACCGAGAATCGACTTGCGGTTGTCGCCGAATCCAGGTGCCTTGATAGCAACGACGGAGAGTTGGCCACGAAGCTTGTTGAGGATGCAAGCAGCAAGGGCTTCACCGTCAACATCTTCCGCAATGATGACAAGGGGACGACGGGCTTGGGCAGCAGCCTCGAGAGTTGGGAGGATGTCCTGGAGTAGGGAAATCTTCTTCTCGCTGAGGAGAATGAACGGCTTCTCCATCTCAACCTTCTGAGCTTTGACGTCGGTGATGAAGTAGGGGGAAATGTAGCCACGGTCGAAGCGCATGCCCTCCGTAATTTCAATTTCATCCTCGATGGTACGACCTTCCTTGACAGTAATGACTCCCTCCTTGCCAACTTTCTCCATCGCCTGGGCAATGAGGTTCCCGACGTGGGTGTCTCCATTAGCAGAGATAGTCGCAACTTGAGCAATCTCAGCCGTGGTTGTGATGGTTTTTGTTTGCGAAGAGAGGAACTCGACAACACGGTCGACAGCAGCTTGGGCACCACGACGAAGGTCCATAGGGTTGCAACCTGCCGCAACATTCTTCACACCCTCAGAGTAGATGGCGCGTGCAAGAACGGTTGCGGTCGTGGTACCGTCGCCAGCAATCTCGTTTGTCTTCTGAGCGACATCTTGGACGAGTCTGACAGTTTGTCAGCAATTTTTTCGTGGAATGTGTTGGGTATCACTGACCGAGCACCAAGGTTCTCGAACTTGTCCTTCAATGTGACCGCTTTGGCGACGGTGACACCGTCTTATACACGCTTGAGTCTTCTGGCCAACAACACGAAAAGTAGCTCACCCTTGGTAATTTTTGGCCCTCCGAAAGACTGCTCAATAATGACGTTGCGACCTGTGTCCGCGTCAGTATACCTTTCGACGCTATTTAAGTTGCCCACCTTTGGGTCCTAGAGTAACTTGTACAGCGTTGGCCAGGACGTCAACGCCCTTCAAAATGCTAGCTCGCCCATCATTGGAAAACTTAATTTCCTTGTGGGCTCCTCGCGTAAGTGCGGGTTGCGCCTTAGCGGCGGCACGGCGCATAGACCGGGAGGACGTCGAAGAGAGACGGTGCATTTTTGGGAGGAAGAAGGTGGACGAAAGAAACGATGACGGGTGAAAAAAAATTGTGGCAGTTGACAGCTTATGTTAGGGGCATTTCGGGTATTAAAGTGTCCTTTTATGGAGTACTTTGAGATAACCGCTAATTTCTCTCAATCCATGCCACGAATGGCAACAGTCATGATCTTGCTTCTTGAACTCAACCACGACGCGCCAACTCTTCGGTCCGTCGGTCCCGCCTCGACAGATGCGCCTTCAGGGCCATCCCACGCCCGACACCCCCCGATATTCTCCCGTCGACATTTTTACTGTTTCCCCGCACCAGATGACCACCCCGCCTGACTCCACAATATGTTCTCGAAGTCGCTTTTTAACGCGATTGTTCGAAGGAGCTTTTGCTCTCTAACGCGATGCACCTTTCTGCTATCGCTACACTTCTCTCACTACTACCTGGCGCGGTAAACGCGTTAGGGCAGGCTACTTGCGTCTCATTTCAGTCTTCCTCCTCAGTCTTCACTGTAGCCAGCAATGGGAAGGCTGCACCGATCCTCACGTCTACAGATGACTGGCCAGGGGTGCACAGAGCAGCTCAGGACTTCGTCGCTGACATACAACGTGTTACTGGCGTCAAACCGACCCTGACAAACACGACCGCTGCCAAAGCCCCGCGTTCATCGTTGCCTATTATCATAGGAACTCTTGGACGGTCCTCCCTCATTGACCAAATCGTCAACAACACAAAACTGGATGTATCTGGAGTGCAAGGACAATGGGAAGCCTTCATGACGCGCGTTGTGGCCAATCCTCTGCCAGGCATCGCGAAGGCCTATGTCATGATTGGAGCCGACAAACGAGGAACGATATTTGCGCTCTATGACCACTCAGAACAATTTGGTATGGTTCTTCGATCGAGTTTCCAGCTGGGTCAATTAATCATCCTTTCAGGTGTGTCCCCGTGGTACTGGTGGGCTGACGCGCCAGTCGCGACACACACTTCTCTGTTCGTTTCGCCAAATGGTTGTGCCCATGGCGCGCCAACTGTAAAATATCGTGGTATATTCTTCAACGACGAGCAGCCAGCGTTGCAAAGCTGGGCTGCCGAAAAGTTCGTCACGAACGAACAGGGTTCAGCCTTGACAGACTCGCCGTTCAATCGATTTTTTCATAGCAAAGTGTGCGTTCATCTACATATTTGCTTGTCGAACTAAAAATATTGACATATTGCTTCAGCTTCGAACTTCTGCTAAGAATGAAGGCAAACCATCTCTGGCCTGGTCGGTTCGCCGTTCCGCTGCGGCTTTCCGCTTATCTTTTGCCGTAGCACAATGGTCTTCCGCATTCGGAGTCGACGACCCGCTCAATCAATTCAATGCTGACTACTTTGGAATTGTTATGGGGACAAGGTACTGTGTTGAACTCTGTTGTTTCGCTAACCATTAACGTTTTATATAGCCACGAAGAACCCATGATGCGTTCTATCCCTGTTGAGTGGGGTCTGTTCGGTGTGGGGCCGTGGGACTATGGGTAAGAAGCAGTTACTTCGATTTCTCTTACTCAGTTTATCAACAGCGCAAACGCTGAGGTATATTTGTTTCCACTGTATGACGACATCTCGAACTGAACATGCTAGACCATCAACGCTTTCTGGGTCAACGGGACGATTCGATCTAAACCTTTCGAAAATGTCTGGACTGTAGGAATGCGTGGTAATGGAGATGGTGACCTAAGTTACAAAATCTTTCGATGTTCTGACTGACGATCTGCAGAACCTATTGTTGGAGACGCAATCAGTCTCTTGGAAAACATCACCGCGAACCAAACTGCCATCTTCAAGCAGGTCTTTGGCCAGGACGTTGATGTGTCTCAAATTCCACAAGTTTGGGCGCTATGTGAGTCGTCCAAAGTATGTAAGCAAGTCATTCTAAGCCCTAGGTAGATAAAGAGGTCGAGGGATACTACGATCAAGGACTTCGTGTTGACGACTATGTGACTCTGTTATGGACAGACGACAAGTAGGTTTCTCTCGGCTCTCGAAGTGAAGTATTCCTCAATGCTTGTAGCTGGGGTAATATTCGTCGTTACCCGATCCCTTCAGAACGCAACAGGACTGGTGGTGCTGGTGTTTACTATCATGTGAGCAGTTGTTTATGTCGTCACGGATGATTTCTCATTTTGATCTTCGCATTAGGTTGATTATGTATACATCCCTCAGTATTATCTTATCTTGTCAGTGAACAACATTGCAGGTTGGAGACCCACGAGACTACAAATGGATTGCGGTTCGTATTGAGCTTTCGGGCCTTGTTTGTACGTGCTAATGTCTATTGCCAGACCTCGCAAATCTCTAAGGTATTGTGATTCTACACCCTTCCACTTGCCTGACCACAGTTCAGATATTCGAACAATTATCCATCGCTGTCGATCGCGAAGCAACACGTGTTTGGGTCGTCAACGTTGGGGATCTCAAACCCAACGAGCGCGAAACCGAATTCTTCCTCAACTATGCTTACGACTCCTCGATCTGGACCCCTGATAATCTTGGCACTTTCGTCTCCGCGTGGGCTCAACGCGAATTTGCGGGCATCTCAAAGGCAGATGCCAACACGGTTGTTGAGGTTGTCGGAAATCTGACGAGGTGGAATATGCGCCGTAAGCCGGAATTGTTGAATGCTACGACATTTAGTTTGGTGCATTACCGAGAGTGCGTCATCAACGGAGCCAATCATCTTTGTCTTTGTTCACTTTTCATCAGGGCGGAAAGTGTCCAAGCTGCATGGGATAACCTCCAATCGGTATCGACGGCGATATACAACCGACTTCCCGCAAACACCAAGCCCGCATTCTTCCAACTTGTCCACCACCCTGTTCTAGCAAGTGCAAATCTGGGTAATATGCTCATCAAGGCCGGTCAAAGTGTGTTGCGAGCTAGCCAAGCAAGGCAGAGTGCGAATCAGCTTGCGGACCAAGTCGAGGAGTTGTTCGAAAATGACTTCGAATTGGAGACGCAGTACCACACCTTGTTGGATGGTAAGTGGAACGTCATCCATGTCATAGCTAGTTCTAATTGTAACCAGGTAAATGGGATCAGTGAGCGAATTTTTCAACTTTTTTTTCTTGTGCTCGAATCTGACACTAAACTCAAACAGCATGATGAGCCAGACACGTTAGTTGCTCCGATTCAGTTTCCAATATTGAGCTCAACTATTGCAGATATTGGCTATGCTTATTGGCAGCAACCCATGGCCAACAGTATGCCATTGATTTCGAGGGTGCAAAAGAAGAAGCAGGCTATTCCTGGCCCGATGAGAATCTCTCCAGAAGGAACATTAGCCTCTTGGTATGCGGCAGCCTTATCAAAGACCATCGGGTTAAAACAGACTTATAGGCCCGGAGACAACATGTTCCAATGCGCGGCGCATTTCAACTGTCCCCCACCGTGAGCACCTATTGTTCATATTATCATCACCATCGTGGTTTTAACCTGAAAACAGGACACTTGTGCTTGACCAGTTTGATCCGTTTGGTAATCGCTTCGTCGATGTCGGTGCTGGCGGACCCACACCATTCACATTCACTGCTGTGGCCAATGTTTCTTGGCTGAAAGTATCACCCTCCTCGGGCTCTGTGTCTCCCTCCAACCCTGAAGTACGCGTATTTGCTAGCGTGGACTGGAGCCAAGTCCCCAACGGAATGAACTTTGCGAACATAACGTTCCATCCTTCTGGGACCAATGTCGATCAGCATCCTACGCCAGCTGGTGTTGTGTCGTTCCCGGTCAACTTCATCGCCAATAAGACAGCTCTTCCTGCGGGTTTCAAAGGATTTGTCGAGGCTAGTGGTGTCGTTGCATTTGAAGCAGAGCACGCTTCTCGCAACAACTCTGTGTCCTCGATGTCCTGGCGCGTTTTACCTGGTCTTGGCCGGACACTCTCTGGTGTGACACCTTGGCCGCGTCTGGGGAACAACGAAAACAACTTCACTGCTGGCGCCGGTCCCTCGCTCGAATACGACTTTTACACGTTCAGCAACTCGAATGCTACGGTGACGTCATTTGTGTCGCCATCAAATAATGCGCTTGGGATGGACAGGCCACTTGGATTCGCTGTTCAGGTCGATAGTGGGCCTGTGCAATCCAATTACTTCTACCCCGATGCTGCACCTGGACAACAACCTCCGCAATGGAATGGGCTTGACGGATTTGCAGCCAACTCGATCATTAGTGTGCCGAATGCAGTCAAGTTGGCTCCTGGAGCGCACACACTGAAAGTGGGTCCGCTGGCTTTATAGCTATATAAGCTTACTAACATCTTTCAAGCTGTTCATGATTGAGCCAGCCGTAGTGGTGCAAAAAATTGTAATCGGTGAGGAATTCTTATGCCGGCTGTAAAAAGCTAATCCTGTTGACTCGCAGATACTGGTGGACTACAACCTAGTTATCTAGGTCCACCGGAAAGTGTACGGATATCTTGAGTACATAAAATTGATTTTATTTCGGTTGTAAAATAAAAATTTGTGAGAGCAGCCAGAGGATGGGCACTTCCTGTGATCCTGCAGCGGCGATCAACAACTCTCATCAAACTTCCTTCACCAAATTTTGGGATGACCTCTTCTAGCTGACTCTCGCGAGCAATTCAACCTGAAGGAACGCGATGAGTCATTACTCGAGGAAGTGGTCAGTCCTCGAAGACTTTCATGCCGTTGATCTAAAAAACACAGCGAACGCGTCTGGAGTGGACGTAGGGTCTCGATTATGGTGGGTTGGAGGAGCATTTACACCAACTCTGTGCGTTTCATTTAGATTTCTTAGATATGCGCTTACTGTTGCACAGCCGACAACTACCAGATTCTGGTTGACGAGCAGTTAATTGTACTCCCCCATCGCGACGGCTTGTGGAAACTTTGGCACCGTTTGTCCACTACCGTTGTATCTGTAGACCGTCGGCCTCACGTCTGCCAAGTGAGGATTCTCTTTTCAAATACTACATTCTGACAACTGAACCCTACAGACATACAAAGGCGCATCGTCCTTCGACTACTTGGTGATTCCACTGAACCCCTCCTCGTCCATCCTGCCTCGTCGTCTCGCAGCACGGATACCTCCACATATCCTCCTCATACATGCAGGTGCAAAACTTGCTCGTGCCTACAACAACACACCGATTGGCGACGACCCAGCTGGTCGCGAGCTTCTTGAAAGAGTCCTGCACTCCGACAAGCCAGACCCGTTCCAGTTCGACCAGGCCGCTCTCGATCTAACGCGGCATGTCGAGGAGCGTTTCTCATCAATGAAGTCGTTCCTGACGGACCAGGACATTTGCCAGTATCGAATTATCTCTTTCACATATATTCCCTGGTTATGACTAGACATACCACACTCATGAACTATTATCATTCTTTTTCACTTTTTTCCATGCATCCATGGCGGCCTTCTCAGCTGCTGAAGAGGGGTTTTTTGACCATGTCTCATATGTACCGATCAGATCTTGCAACAGCTGCTCGTTCGCCAATTGTTCTGACTCGGATCCGTCCCGATGTTGCTCATCATTGCGGGCTCCCAAGTAGGCCGCAAGGTGTGCGATCATCGTGTGGTCAGCTTTGAATGGTGCCAATTTCTCTCCTGCAGAAAACATGACAAAATGAGGTCGACAACAGGATCTTAGAACAGGAAGGTCGGTGAACGGGTATTTGTAGACTGTGACGACATCAGGAACGTTTGGCTCAGCATAGCGAGTAATGACGGCTCTTTGCATGTCTTCTGTCAGTGGAAGCATGAAGTACTCGAAGACTTGGTCTTTTTGCGAGTAAATCTAACGACAACTATGAGTCAAACACACAATTCGCACAGAAGTGAAGGACCTCAGTGATGGGGCGACGCCGCGATTTATCTACATCAGTGGCATTGTATATGTCCTCGAAGTCGTCCATCCATTCGCGGACTCGGCTGATCCATTTCCGATGCGGGATTAAAACCCAATTATTGCTGTCGAGCAAGATGTGCCAATCAGACTTGACTGATAGTCCAAATGCGTTAGTGAGTTGAATCGAGGGGAACTGGAACGCATACGTAAGATAATGTTGAATCGACTATCAATATAGAGGGTCATATAACGCATGCCCCATTTCCATTCAATAATTGTCAGCTATGCTTTTATTTAGAACCTCCAAACCTAAACGCAGTCAGCTTACCAATCCGGACTTGGTACGACGTGCAATGATATGACAAGCTTGCCGAGATCTTTTGGGGTCGAGCATAAGCGTCAGTAGGCATGCACCACCGTTTGGGTCCAATTCGATAACGAGTTGCTTGACAAGATTCATACCGTTGACCACTGCTCTGTGCGCAGGAGTCGTATATACTTGATTTGGGTTGAGAGTTGTTGCTTCAGGGCTCGTGTTCGGCTGGAAACCAGGATTGTCGCCGCCACCGTCCTCCTCCTCCTCGTCCAGTGTTTCCAATACGCCGTCGAACCAAAAATCAGACATTTTATCATCGGGAATATGCGTGACTCGAGCTTCGGGTTCCGGAGGAAACGAACTTCCTGATATGTTTCCGTCAAAGTCGGTGTAAGGCAGCATCAGAGGATCCTTTTGTTCTGACTCAGAGCTTCTGGACCTCGGAATACGGGGCTCTAGTCCAAGGTCATCTTCAACCTCCAGGGAAGGGAACGGCAGCGGATCAGTGTTCAGCTTGCGCTTGGGCTTGATATTAACGACAACTTGGACTCTCGAGAAGGAGCCACGATCAGACGGGCTTGGAGAGCGCGTCCGGTCTCGATAGTTCGGGTCATCAAATGGATTCACGGGTGCCGAGGTTTGGAGCTGGGGGATAGCGACTGAACGGATCGACTGGCCACTTGTGCGATGTAGGTTATATAATCTGGCGGCATTGCCAGTGGCGGATGGGCCTGCAATGGGTTCTGTTTGTGCAATATGAGCAACCTTTGTTTTCTTCCTCCAGGTGACAGGTAAAGTTGAGGGAGATGCGGGAGGGGGTTCGCGACCAGTGCTTTCTGCACGTAAAGAGTCGGGCGATTGGGAGGGCGGTCGAGTTTGTGGGAGAGGCATAAGACGAGAAGATCGATGAGCTGGATCACTCAAGGATTTGGTCTTTTATATCAAATAAGAACAACAAGCAGAGCAGAACTTGAAAGTCATCGATAACGGGATAGCGCAACCTGAGACAGCCTGAGACTGAGATGGATGCTCGTTGCTTTTAGGAGCTCTTCAGCTACAACTTCATACGATTCCAGTGGTATTTGTCGGGAAACCCCCACAAAGAAGTTGAAAGAACGTTAACAAGTTGTGAATGAGCGGAGATTTGAATCAGGAGCACGTCCAGTCACATGCGGTCACACGTGACATGCGGTCACACGTCTCTGCTTGCTCACGACTCTCAAGACTCAAGTGTTCTTAAATGGCTACTAAAGTGGCATCTCTCCTCGCTAACTCTCTGGAGCTGTTTGTGGAACGTGGTCAGAACCTGCTCGAAGAAGTGGTCAGTACATACCACCTCTTGCTGCACTGGCTCACAAGAATCCAGCGCACGCGTCTTGAGTGGTCATGGGGACTCGAATATGAAGGACTAGAAGAGCATTTGCAACAATTTCGTGCGCTTCTACAAGTATCGCCGACCTGCACTGACATTTTGCAAAGCGGACAACTGCGAGCTTCTGACCGATGAGCAGTTGATTGTCCTCCCCCATCGGTACAACTTGTGGAAACTTTCTATTCGTGCTTCTGCAGCTTCAAAATCTCTGCAACGCCGGCCTCACATATCTCAGGTGACCAAGTCCCGCTATACTCTCCTGGACTGACAGAAAGCCATAGACGTACAAAGGCACATCGTCCTTCAACTACTTCGTCATACCACTTGACCCTGCCTCACCTGTCATGCCCCGTCGTATACAACTCACCACGCCTCCACATATCATCGTCATTTATGCAGCCGCTAAGCTTTCTCGTGCTTACCATGGCGAACCTATTCGCGATGACCCAATCGGTCGCGAGCTGCTGGAAAGAGTCCTGCAGTTTGACGAAGAAGACCCGTTCCAATTTGACAACTTTTCAATTGGAGTAACCCGACAACTTTATCGTACCTGGACCAACAGGGATCCTGTCGCGCCCACGTTCAAGTCGGGACAGTCAGACGCCACATTGGTAGAAGAGAGGCCCGTTATTCACGTTCCTTCTGCAGAAAACTTGAAGTCTAAGCAACCCCCGACCGTCGAAGTTTATCTTGAACCTGAACGACGCGTGACGGCACACGAGCTCATGCATGATTTCAACGGAGAAGAAGGCAGTTCAGATTCGGATATCGAGGACGACTCTGATCCATTATGGGAAATGGATGTGGAGCAATGGGCGAGTACTGCCTTGCATGTCGGGGAGCGTGACGAGAAGGTTCTCATCAATGAAGTCCTTCCTGACGCACTAGAACGGACCAGGACATTTGCCAGTATTGATTTATCTCAACCAGCTTACCTCAAACACGGCAAGCGTCGTCGCGCTGCGGTCTAAGATATTCTTTCCGCGTGTATTATTGCTATAAATGTGCTATCAACTTGCTTTGCGACTTTGGTGGCATCTAATGTTTTGCCCAGCTGTGGATCCAGGGCACATGAAAGCTCGTCATATTTAACTAGTAGAGCATACTAGTACGGCCAAGTCCATTGACTGCGAGAATCAAATGAGAGGAACGCCGTCATTAGATCCTTCGCTCTTCTCTTTGCGATTCTGACGCTCCTGTTTGTATTGCCTAGGAAGCAGAAGCAGGCCGAGGAGGTATATCGCCCAAACCGCCTACACTCAATTTCAGCAAGACATACTTCACATAAATGCACTTACGGTGACGAAACCCAGCCAGAAGTGTTTGCAGCGCCAGTTGACGGGGTGGGCATTGCCTGTGATGAATGCCCACTCGTGCCAGAGCCCGTAGTGTGTCTGCCAGCAGGCGAGCAGGACTATTGACAGGCCCAGCAGACCGTGAAGGTAGTTTTGTGGGGGGCGGCCACCTGGAATGCGGGCTGTCACAGATGCAGGCAGTTTGATGAAGTGGATGAAGACGCCCAAGCAAACTTGAATGATGTAGAGGATGAGAAGAGCGAGGCCGACTTTCTGTTGATGGTGAGGTTCTGTTATTCACTCGGGAGATAGATAGGAAGTAGAGTATACCGACCTGATGCACGTCGAAGAAATGGGGGATGCCGGAGGTGTTTACGAGCTGGTATCCAAGGGCGAAGGTGGCGAATACGAGAGGGCCCACAAAGAACAAGTTGACGATGGCATGCGGCCAGAACCAGCTTGAAGAGAGTCAGCTCCTTAGTAGCGTATTGGCAGAGACAACTGACTGTTTCGTGAATGTGCGTAGATATCGCGAAATCAGAATTCCAAGGGGCAACCCGACGACAAAGGCAAAGAAACCGAGGTGGGCGTGGATGCGGGCCTTGTTTTCAAACGGGGAGAGTGGGGTGGCCATGGCTGTCGTACGACAACCTAGGCTGCGACGACACGGGTATTTATGCGGACCCCAACGAGGGAAATGCACGGTCAGACTCTGCACGGCTATTCATAGTGGTGGGAGAACGGCTGTCATTCGCCGGGAAAGCCGAGGTAAGAATGGAATGCGAGCTTTTTGTGGATCGAGGGCTGTGGTCGCCCTTGCCAGAGAAGAAATACTTAAAAATAACCTGCAGGGAGTGATGTCGTAACCCAACTTGAAGGGCATGACCGTGACGCAACGCGTCAACACCTTTTACATCTTGCTCAACTCTTGTTTTCAAATCGTCAGGCTATCACGCACAAGACCTTCGGCTCATCTTTCCTTCCTGGCCTGGTCCAGAAGCTTTCCAGGCGTGGCTATTTCACAGTCCAATATTGGCAGCCTGCGACTTGGGCAACTCTGACCACAGATTGAGGTTGTCGGGAGGATTCAAGTCGAATATAAAACTGGTAACTTCCGAAACGCAGTTACTCCACGTTCACATCGGTCTATTTTCCAGTCATTGCCTGATTACAACTAGTTTCGCTGGATGATAACGAAATAACTCTTCATGCAAAGAGGGAGCGAATGTAAAAGTACGATCTAACTAACCTGGACACGCCCCATGGCATCTCGAAGCTCTTAAACAAAGCTGCAACCTTCGTGGCGGCATCTTCGCCAAAAAACAAGTCCAAATTCGTGGCCGACTCCTTTCCAGCAGTATTGGCTCGTGTGCGCATGACCTTCTCGTACTTTTCCAAAGAAGTGCCGTTGTTCAATGCTTTGGCAAGATCAGCAGCATCGGCCATCGCAAGATTCACGCCCTCCCCCGCAAATGGGCTCATGAGGTGAGCAGCGTCTCCCAACAAAACGATATTGTCAGTCTTCAAGCGTGGCTCCGACTCCCAAGGAAGTGCGTATATTGGTCGTATGATGGGGCTATCTCCAGCACGAATCAAGGCTTTCAGCGACTCGTCCCAGTCTGAAAATTCCTTCAACATCAATGACAACTTCTCATCGGGAGTGTTTGCAAGTGCAACAGCAGACGTGGTTGCCCAGTCTTCCGGCACGCGGACCGCGGAGTAAAGCATCATGAGGTCGCCAGAGTTGTGTTGCGCCATTATAGCCTTCCCATCCGTCAACGCAAACATTGCTCCAGGGCCAACGAGCGGGGCGAATTCGCGATGGAGTGCAGTGTTGATTTTGGTTTCGAGGAAAGTGATGCCGCTATAGATTGGCGAAGAATGAGGCCATACAACAGGGCGAACGCGGGACCAGGCTCCGTCGGCGCCAACGACGATGTCGACATCTGTCAATGAATGACCAGATTCAAATTCTACGGAATATTTCCCTGTTTCATCGTCTTTACGGACTGCGGTAGCTTTGCGTCCCCACTGCACAGTGTTGGGTTCCAGAGATTCTAGGAGGAGGGAGCGCAACTGCCCACGATCGATTTCTGGGTTGTAAAATGCGTCGCCGTTGTCCGTTGCTTCATAAAACGCTTTCCCTGTTTTGTCAAGAATACGCATTTGCTCGCCAATGGGTCGACAGAGTTTGATGAATTCGGCATGCAAGCCAGCATCGTGTAAAGCGCGTTGGCCTGACTCATATTTGAGGTCAAGAGAGCCTCCAAATGTTGCACGGACCATCTCGTCCGCATCTGAGTCGTATATGGTGAACACGATAGACGGATTATTTTGTCGTTGGAGGATTCTTGCAAGGGTGAGGCCACCGATGCCGGCGCCAATGATCGCTACACGAGTCGAGGTCATGGCTGCGGTAGGGATAGAGGAGGACGCAGTGTTTAAGTATATGTGGACCGTGGTCTCATCTGACAACAGCTGCGGAAGCCAGCCGAGACAACGAAGACTGGACAGTGGACGCTTTCGGAACAGCCCCTCAAGTCACGTGTGGGCCCTAGGTCTGGGTCTGATTCGAATTGTCAACTGAACAACTAAAAGTTGTGTCTTTCGTTCTGCTTTCGTTGGTCTCTGGGCCTGAGGTGAAAGACGTCAACATTAAAGGAACTGCTATCACTAGTGCCAATGAGCTCTAGTAATTGTAATCAATTCTGGTGAATGCAGGTTCGTTCTATAACAAACCCAGGCCTCCAAAAACTCGGAATGACAGCCTCACACGTTAATCCCGAGTCAGAGGGATTGAGACGCTGACTTATGAATCTTTGAGACCATTGGCCTCTGCAGTATCGGTGATCCTCTGCCAAGTACGCAGTCACATGACCGTGACTCTCTTGCCTCCAACGAGCTTCATGTCCGAGCCTGTCCGAGCCACTGACTGCCAACGGGGTGCTTCGCCTGACACAAATATCCCTCCCTCGCTCACTATTGGCTCCAGCTCGACATATTAAGCTCCGTTATCCAGGACCTTAGGCATGCCCAGGTTCAAGTTTGGATTTTCATGAGATAATGAGGCTGACCTATTACTTCAGAAGGCATGCTCCGACGCTGCAGATGGTCTTGAACGCCTTATGTGCGAGAATGAACAACTGAAGAGAACGGTGGTTGACCTGTCCAAGAAGTTGAACGTGAGTTGTTTGTATTAACGATCTTTGTTGTTGAGATCGCATAACTTAGCATTTCCGGCGCAAATCGATGGCTGCTCACCTTCCTCCTGAAATTCTTCTTGGTATCTTCAACCAAATTGTGCCTCCTCCGTGGATGTTGGGAGGGATACGGGAGCTCACGCTTGACTCGCTCTATAGCATGGACCTCGAGATGAAGACGATATTATGCTTAGTCTGCGCGTCGTGGAATAGGGTCGCAACCGAGCTTCTATATCGACACGTTCACTTACGAAGCATTGGTCAAGTTGCCGCCTTTTCTTGTGCATTGGAGACTCCCACTGGCCTTGGTGCAATCGTGCGCCGTCTCGATATAGGCTGCTTCATCCCTTACGGCTACTCCCGACTTTTCAGAAACGAAACCCAGCAGATACTTGAACGGTGCTCCCATCTGACACACTTTGGTTTCGTGCCTCCGTCTCTTGACCCGATGGTTGACACACCCTACAATTTAAGCGCAGTTCCGATGAAAAATACTGTCACCAGCCTTGCCTTCTCGCCCGATGTTGACGTAGACGTTATTCTCGGGCTTCTAGCTCAGCTTTGTGCGAATCTTCGAGCTCTTTCCATTCCATTCGACCACCACCTCTATTCCGAACTGGAATTCCCCCAACTCGAGGAACTTAATGTGTTTATAATGGCCAAGGTTCGCGAGTCCCTGCCAATTAGTCCGCCAGTCATTTGGCCGTGGTCGATGCCGCTGCTGAAGCGACTCTTGCTGAGTACAATGAGTCTGGATCCAGGAAGGCTGGCGTGGAACAGATTTGCGCCATTGTTCATCGATACATACGGCAAATATCTCGATTTTCTGTCACTGCGGGTCCCTTCTTTCAGTTCGGACAGACCATTATCTTGTCAAAATATTGACAATACCTGCCCCAGACTCAAGCATCTCGCCATCGCTGCCATGACACAGTCCGACTGTGAGGCGACGCTGGATTTTGTGAATGGTCACCCTATCGTTGAGCACCTGGATATTTGGTGTCGATGGACTGCCGAGTCACGCCATCCGCGACTTAATGCGCCAGACGAGGACAAGCTCAGGGCCGCCTTTCCGTCTTTGCTTACGTGTCGGTTCTTGGATGCCTCTTTCATATATTTCGACCGGATTCCTTTGGATTTCCCTCCAAACCCCACGCATGAAAAAACCCTAACGTCCAGCCAGACACCACCGACAGTCTCACTTCCGCTGTGGTGGCGGACTATCATTGCCTTCGTTGACCCCGCATCCCCAAACAGCGAATATGACCTCAACGACTCGGTTCGATTTGCGGATTTGCGGATTGAGGAAGACTCCGACTCTGACTCTGAAGAGTCGGATTCTGACGAGGACGACGACACCAATGATGAAGACTCAGCCTCGCTGATACAATCTGATTATGGACAAGACGAGTATTCTTCCGGCGATTCTGACTCGGGTTACGATGACTTCGACGAGCAGCTGCCGGATTGCCGCCAACAGGTGGACAGAGCCGAGGCACTGGAAATATTTGCAGCTATCTGCGGGCGAAATCAATAAGCATTGAAAATGACGCCCACCTATAGTGGTACAGACGATTTGATGTCGGACCCACCAGACCACTTACCTGTGGAAACAGTAGGTCATGTTAAATTCTTGATTAATTATAGTGTAGGAAAGTCAAGTCTGTACATATACCTTCTTTACTTTACAGTAATAGTCAAAAGCTTAATGACACCATCTTGTGCGATTCCTACAAGCAAGCATGGGTTACGATAACGATTGTGGATGGCGAATCCAGCTTACCATGGTTAATTCCCTCCGCACCAGGGAGCAGCAATCCTGTCAAATCTTGAACCGTCGTCTGGTAGGTATTGGCTTTGAAGTGTTTCAGGTCAAATCCGTGGTGTGTCCCCTGGGCGGCCGCGACGAGCAAATCTCGTCCTTGGTTGTACCCGTCTGCGACGATGTTGTGATGTTGGTCCACGTCTTGCTCTTTTGAGACACTGCCGGGTAAAAAGGTGAGCTCGTGAGCGTGAGGGTACAGAAAGGGGACACATACGCAAGGAACAGGGCGCCAGTCCCGGCTTGAGGAAATACACGGAAGTGGTTTCCTGTGAAGTAAACCTTAGTGATCATTCATCGTAATGTCTCTTTGTATGTACCCCCAGTGAGAGATTCTACGCAGGTACCTATACCTGTAGAAAAGTTCGTCACGATTCGCTTGATCTTTGTGGATTAGGGTGCAGGATTTAAGTGGTGTTTCAAACCGCGTTTCGAAACAGCTGTTTCAAACCGCTGTTTTTAATTATTTCCAGAAAAAGTGCTGTTTCAAAACACATGACCTGTGGGAAAAATTAGGCAATTCACTGGTTATAGACAGACTTTGGCTCATGCTGTAGCAGCTATACTTACAGCTATAAAGGTAACATCCTAATCAACTATTGTTACTCTCCATTTAATGTCACTGGAGGTCTTTTAAAGGCTTCAAGTGTTACCGTCACATCAGTGATAGGGTCACACCATATACAGACAACACAGAATATAACTTAGGATAGCAAGGGGTACCTTGAAAGCTTGAGAAATGGTGTAAAAGAACAAGTAAATACATATGCTAGCCCAAAAAATGATTCAAAAGGTCAAAATTGCCATTTTAGGCAATTTTAATCAATCCCTGTTTGCAAACTGGTTTCTAAATTGGCTGGGAGTTCAAACCGGTTTTAATAACCCCCATAATTCAATCCTGCACCCTATCGTGGATGGACCAACCGGGGATTCCAAAACTCTGTCGGATGACCGCCTGGTTCATATTCAGTCTACGGAGTACGTTTTCGACGAATTGAAACAAAACCGTTTCATTGACGTCGCCTCAGTGATAACCTGGAAAATGACGGTATCCACAACCCGCTAAGGACCAGTTAATCGGTCACAAACATTGAGAGGTTCGCCGAGGCCTGCAGATTTGTCGAGGAAAGAGCCGCCGTTCAAGGTGGGGTTGATGAAGTGCCCGGCTACATCGACGGCTTGGCGTCTGGCGAGGGGCGAAGCCGCCACTAGGAGGGCAGGGAGAGCGAGATAGGAAACGAATGTGCGAGCTGACAGCATTTGTTCGATAAGCAAAAGCAATGAGTAGTCGAGGAGAAAGAGGAGCAAACCAGGCCCCAGCCTACCGCAAAGATACGAGGCAGCTTTTATATGCTGTGGTTTAATGGTATTAAACTCGAAACCGTCCAACCGTCCCCGGATTCGCCGATGTCGTAGTCGCTGAAGATCCCCGCCCCTCGTTGCCCGTGTTTTCACATTGCGAGTGTCCGGATCGCCGCGATTTCGGAACGTTTGCGGTTGATTACTCGACGGCGGCGGCAGCTGAGCTTGTTCAAGTTGTGTTCGACTAAGTCTGGGAAGTTGTCACAAACAGCCAAAAGCTTGACTGCATCTGTTGTTCATATAGTTATGTATCCAGCTTAATTTGAGTCCGAGTCTTCACAAGGAGGGTCCAGCAACTGTTTGGTCATGGAAGTTTTCTCAGAGTTGCCCGAGTCACGCTGCAAGGTTGATACCCAAATCCATCATTTGACAATACTTACGCTGGTGAGTTTTCTGAGTTCAACGAGTTAAATGCGCGAAATTTGACTGCAATAAAATGTCTATCTAAACTAAAAATGTGCTATGTGTGATAATGAACGAAAAAAATGGCGCGAGCAGCGAGCAATGACTTGTGTGGGTTTAATCCCAGACCAGCTTTCCACCCTCGACACTGGCCGTCATCCCCCCACCCGTCTTGCTCTTGCTGCTCTTGTTCTGCTCAGCAATGCGTACCCGTTCCAGCTCACGTTTGTGGGCCTTCAGCAACGCCTGTTGCTCCGCATCCTGAGCAGCTTTTGCCGCCTTGGCTGCTTCCCGCTTCTTCGCGTTTTTCTTCGCGTTGGCACCTGTCCCAGCCACACTTCCTGGTCGTGGTCCGGTCGACGCTGGGGCGGCAGGTCGTGAAGTGGAGATAAATGATGAGTTTGGCGTTCCACTAGCACTTGCACCCCCTCGCCGCTTTCCTGAAACGATTCCCCATTCACCATCATCATTTCCTTGGGTGGATGGCGCTCCCCATGAATCAAGATCGGCAGCGGCGGCAATGGCGGCTAGATCTGCTTGGTCGGCGGCCGCTTGGGCGGCAAGAGCGGCAAGTTCGGCTTGAGCTTCGGAGTCAGAGGTGTCATGGCCAGAACTGGGTGGTGTTCGTTCGCCAGAACCAGGGACCACCCGCATAACACGCGCGATTGCAGGATAGTCCGGCGATGAAGCTGGAAGCATACTGTAAATATTATTCAGCTTTGTCAAAAATAACAAGTCAAGGCAACGCAACTCGTCAACACCAGTCTTGCGAGGTTTGGGTAGAAGACGTTCGGCCAAGGGTCTTTTGGGAGGTGGAAGTTTGGGACGCATTCCGGGCAGTGGGATCTCTTCAGCTTGCTCATCATCATCTTCTTCTTCCGCTAAGCTGTCATCCGCCAAGTTGCTGGCACTGGCGCTGGCACTGGCACTTGTGCTTCCGCCAGCACCGACGCGAGTCCACCCATCGTCTGTGGTGTCTCCGCCAACTGCAACTGCTTTTTCCTTTTTCTTTCCCTTCGACTTCTTGGTCTTGGTTGCTGACACAGAGGCCGTTTCTGCACTCGGCACCGTCGTGGGTTCGGGCTCAGTTTCGGTCTCCGGAACGGCAGCCGGAGTGGAAGAAGAGGGAGAAGCCTTTTTCTTAGCCGCCTTCGTCTTCTTCTTGGTTGTTTTGGTCGTAATCGTTGGTTGTGTATCTTCCATGACACTGCCAGAGTCAAATGTTCCGGGAAGACTGGTAGAAACTGTCGTAGAGGAAGTTGGCTGAACAAATGGTTCATCTTTGCTCGCTTTGGCCTTGTTCTTCGGCTTTTTGGGCTTGGAGGTCGCTGATGAAATGGCTGTACTCTCAGTTGGTGGCTCTGACTTCGTTGGCTCGGGGGCAGCCACGGGAGCTGTGGATTTGCGCTTGACCTTCTTGCTCGAACCGCTTCCCTCAGTGGCCGACTTCTTCGTAGAATTGTCCTTGTCCTTGTCCTTGCTCGGCGATCCTGACCCCGAAATAGCGGCATAACCAAGAGCGGCGGCGCCAGCAACGACAGCAACCGCGGTGAGGCCAGTTTCGACAGAGAGTGTGCTTTGCGATGAACCCATTAACAGAAGTGTTTTTCGAGGATGTGGGAAGAAAGGAGAAGGTGAATTAGGCAGAGATAGCAAACGAGGGTGTGTGTGAGAGAGACGGCTACAACTGCGACGTGGAACGCGTCGAAGACAAGAGGTGGAACACTGAGTGACCGCCACGTGTCACGACAAATATCGCAAAATAACGCGTCAACAGGCGTCAATGCGAGAAGGAGAGTCGACTTCCTCTGCTCTGAGTCCTCGACGCGACCCGAGTTTCATGCCTGACTCAATAACCCACGTCTGCCCTATAACGTGTGAGTGTAAATTCTCGGACTTTCAGGCTCAAGTTAATGATATCCCAACTTCACAACTGAAGAAGTGCGCTCCGCTTCGAAGGTCTGTGTCTAAAGCCCGCATCCATTGAGGGGAGCTCTAGACAAGACAAGATAGTGGAAGCAATGCGCACCCGGCAGCTGACATCTCGACTCGGAATATAACGGTCCGGTATGTCCGGTTCCTGAAAACTTATTGCAAGGAACCAACACAATCGAGTTCGGCCAGGGTAATTTTAGGAAGGGATTAGAGTTAAGGCCGAAGGAACGTTAAGGGGCACCCCGGCCTTGAATCACTGTTCAATACTGGCTTCCTGGACCAGCCTTTACAGCTGAAGCTAGCGCTACCAGTAGTCATTCCTTTGAACCCTTCCTTCGAGTTCGAGAAGGGAGGTTGAAACAACGTCGAGTTCCCTACTATCCTGAAGCAACTTTAGGGTCGTCAATGCTGGGTCACTTGTACACTAATGTATCATATGTGCGTGGTGATACTCGCTTGATAGACTTGAAATTTGATCATGATCATATCTAATCTTATCAGTCAAATCACGACTCTTTCACCAGTAGTATGCATCCACTTCATTGAATGAATTCACGCCGGTACCAGGATGTGATCTACCTCCGAAAGTTTCTTGAGCTTCATCGTCAAAGGATTGACGTTTTTCATTGCATGCTTTGACATGTGAGGCGCGTTCGGTCTGAATTGGCGCACACACCCAATTGCACAAATGCAAGTCTCAGCGACTCGGACAAATGTTCTTCTTCAGGGTCTCCAATGAAGCGTTTGTCTGAGGATCATTGGGCCCATATTTTGTGTCGTTTCAAGAATATGTATTTCGGTCAAGCGGCAGACCGATTAGACCGACAAGGCCTTATCTTAGTGTGAGTCATTGAAGGTCACTGACACCTACATCGGGCTTCCTCGGACATGTGGCAACCACGATTCGAGTGGGAGATTTACATTTTCTCCGTCCCGTCCGACGTTCTTCTCGTCATGTTGCCAATCGGTGTTGACACACTGAGAGCGGGCCGATTTCGCGGAAGAAGTCAGCGTCTGAAAAACATGAGGAGGGCGAGGAAAAACAAGATTTAAACGCAAGACTGCAGACACTGAGACAGAGATCGCAAAGCTAATAACATCGAGAGCGTAACGTAGGGTCCAAAGTTCGTGAAGATTTTCGCGGATTTCCGTTCGTTGCCGGTGAAAAACGAGTGTTACATAATCCCTGTGAAAGTGGTGATGGCAGCCACGTGCCAAAAACGCCCTTGTATTCGACGTCAAGCTTTCAAGAGGCGAATAAAGAAAGAGCTTGTATGCTGTGGACTAAACGGCGAAAGTCGCGACCAGAAATCCATACCAAGGCATCGGAGTCGGCCTCGTCAGCCCCCACCACTCGCAGGTCGTCACTGGGTAACCAGCGACTACCATTTGCACCTCTTGACCCTCAACACACCGCCATGGCTGACCAGCACCCTTTATATGGCCGCTCAATCCTCAGTCCGGAAGAGCAGCGAAGGGTTGCTCAAGCCAGGTGTGTCTTGATTTCCCCTTCTTTTGCCTATCTCATCCGATCTCAGCGACGAGGATAACTTGATGTACACGACAAACTCACTCGCTTCATTCGCTTTTGGAAGCGCCTCAGAGCTACCACCCTCGCCATCGCGTCACAACATTGGACCACTTGACGAGATTGACGAAGAAGACCCATACACTTCTCGCAAAGCAGACGACACTCCACGCCAGTCCTTAGCGACTGGAAAAGACCAACGATCTCCCTCTTCCTTCTATTCCCAGCCTCCCTCGGATACCGCCTCCCGACATACGTTCGGAGGCAACTCATCTACCTCTTCTCGCTCTGGGTCACGCAGTCGCACGACCAGCAGCACAACACACACCTCCGTTGACGATTTGGGTGGCGTCACTTTCAATCCTCTCCACCACCATCCTACACTCCCTCCAGACGTTGAATTCGACTCAGAAGAAGAGCTCAGTGAAGAGTACGATTCGATAGAGGTTTCTTCTGCCCATGGGACCAGTAGCATGGACGGCGCTGCATTTGAGGCTTTACTCGAGCGACAAATGTATGCAGACTCCCATATGGCCTCCACTGGACGTAGACCCAGCCTTCCTATGGCCATTCCTGGAACATCACCAGATGACTACAACCACAACCGACGAGACCGCGAAGGCAGTCTCGCAACACTGCGACGACCCAGTCGAAGTCTCGACGACCCAGTTAGCATCTATACGGGTCGCGACAGCCCCACTTCTTCCCCGCCCACACCCGTTTCAGTACCCGAATCCGATGGTGACTGGCGCTCCCTCTCCGCCCGCGTTGCTTCCCGCGAGCCGCCATCACCTCAAACCGTCATTGTCCCTACTTTTGCCGGAGGAAGTGGCGCAGGCAGTGGTGGATTCGATTCGTATGGGTTCGATCTTGACTGGAGCAGTATGCAGGGCGGCATCACTGGTCTAGACATGCGGGATATCGCCGTCCATGCCGGCCGAACTAGCACTCACAGCGAGCGACGGCCCAGTCAGTTGTCACTGATGCTGCGTAGACCGAGCACAGCAAGCGGGGGGAGTGTTATGCTCGATCCAGACACATTTGCGGCCGCAGTCAGAGGTTGGGGCGGAGACGAGTACGAAAGACAACGGAAGTACTGGACTTTCAGACGGGATGCAGCTGACGGGAGAGGTGGAACGAGCAAGAGATCAGTTTCGAGTTCTGGTGGTCCACTGAGTCCGGTGAGAAGTATCACGAGTGGAAGGGCTGGAAGGAGTTCAGATCGGGGTTCAGATCGCCCAAAATCGACTCCTTGGCGAGGAATGGCGTTGAACGCGGAAGAGATCTGGAACAGCACGCTTGTGGGGAGCTTCAAAGTTCGGAGAAGTGAGTTTTTATCTGCCTTCTTTGCGTTTACTTATCACCGACACCCAAGTCGAATTGCGACCTCAAAAACCTCAACAACGCGTCACCATCGATCCTTTTCGCGGGCCATACACGCTTGGGCCAAAACCGCCGCATGATGGTGCCTATACAAACATCCACAAACACTCGAAAGTTGTGGCGTTCTCTATACACCGACATTACAAACCGACTCGCTTACCGCTGGATGCTCGTGGAAGTATCAGTGGCCGAGGAAGCATTACGGGCTCGGTGAGTGCGGGTGCGGGTGCTTATGAAGAGCGACGACGACCGACTGCAATGATTTTGCTTGCGCCAAGACATGTTCAGGAGGCGTATACAAGCACGAACACCACCAAGGGGCTGAGGTCTCATGGACTCTTGGACGAGGGAAAGTCTACCGTTCGGGACGAAACAAAACGACGCGACCGCGAGCGAAGCTCCAGACGCCAACAACAACAACAACAACAAACAAGCAGTATGGGCAGCGTTCGTAGCACAACAAGCACCTTTCGTGAACCGCCTCTACCTACTCCACCCATTCCTCAAGCTCCCTCTGTAGACTCGATACCAGACACAACACGGTCACATTCAGCCTCACGAAGGAGACGAAGAAGGAACAGTTTGGATGGGGATGATTCAGACTCGGAGTCGGAAAGGCTGCGGTCAAGGACCACCCACAACGAGGCTTTCTCCACCATGGATGCGAGCTTCATCGACCAAATGGTGCTTTCCCAGGATGTGCGTGGAGACGGAAGCCCAAATGGGGTTCTTTCGAGAGTGTTTGGACGAGGACAGCCGCAACCACTTTTGAAGCCGCATGCTCCTTATGTGCCTCCATGGGTGACGTTGCAAAGTCGGGTCAAGCAAGAGGAGAGAAAACGACGACACGATGTGTTGAGTAACTCTTTCGAGGATGTCGGTCTATTACCGCCTAAGCGGAGTACTGGGGCTCGGAGCGGGCTCAAAAAGTCGACTGTTCCATCTGCTGCAGTCGACATCTTTGCGCAAGTGCCTGCAGACTCTTTGTTTATGCTTCTGCCCCTCTGGCCCGGCCCGACGGATCCGGTTTCCGAACGAACGACATCACGACCACAGCATCAAATTCCACCTGAACAACGACAATACCTGCTTGTGGCATATAATCCAACTGACGAGCCACCACCGTTATCTTCTTCGAAAACTCGCAGCTCGCATAGTAGTCCGACGAGTTCGTCAGATAGCACGCTTGTGGGTGGTGGGCGTGGCAGCTGCGACATCTTGCTGACGAGCTTCCATGTGAGTGCGCGGCTTGTCTCACACCAAGATTTGCAAGGCTCCGGCGTGCGTGTTCCAGATGAAGGGCTTGCCGTGTTGGGATCGTGGCAGGATGCGTGGCTGAGCATGCCCCAAATTGCGACACGTGACCACGGTCTGTTGGTGATTGGCACCTGCTCGTCCGCCAGGGAGGCAGGAATTGAATTTGATCCAGAAGGGTTAGTTAAGATGGGTCTGTGCATTCCCGTTCCGCCAGAGCCGGGCAGCAGCGAGGAGGAGGAGCCAGTGGCGGAGTTGACGCCTATTGGAAGGGCAGTACTGGAGATGGCATGGATCGGATGCATTGCGGTGACGAGTTTTGGGCCCGCCGGAATGCAGGGATGAAATTGTTGTATTTTAATCGACCATCTAGTAGCATTTCATGAAGATACTTATATATCGCCACCAAACAAGCGGAGCAGAATTACGCACATTTATTTCGGTGTCTTACGCCTGACACGAGCTAAGGTAACGGGAATAACGTTCGTATTGACGAGTATTCAAAGCAAGTTTTTGTTACACTCAAGAACTGGGAAACTCCAGGTCTGGATAGAGGTGGTGGTCGAACGGATTGGAGAGCGCTGAGAGACTGAGGCAAAGCTGGGCTCGCAGCCTGCAAACGACATCCACGTTGACCTCTGGTTAGAATGTGAAGCTTGTAATTGATGTTTTCGAGAAAGGCCCCCGGTGTCATGTTGAACAGTTGGCGCTACGGACATGAGGGTAGGAGTCAAGATTGTGACCCGTTGACCAAAGCATCTCCGAGTTATTTTTGCGGACTTGCAATTGGTGCATTTGATGAGCTTAAATATTATTGCTACGCCTGTACATTCCTATTCATGGTGTGAAGCAAATTCGGATGCGGAAATAATCGAGTCAAAGATCCCCAGTGCCTCGTCCGTCCCGATCTGCCACTCTTCTTCAGGATAGAACTCACATTCACCCTCTAGACACGTCTTATCGATATCTTCTTCAATAGAGTAGTCAGAATCTTCTTCCGAGCTGTCATCTTCTTTGGGAAGCCACTCTGAATCGTCGTCCGAATCGTCAGCTGCTGATACAAGATGCTGGGATTGTAAGCCCAGTTCCTCAAAGTCAACTGAGGCTCTGAGATCGTGTTGGTCGTAGATACTTGCATGTGGCATAAACTCCAGAATTGTGGCCATCCACGGTGGGAGAGGGAGAGTGTCCATTTGGGCAAACTGAATGGAAAGACTTTGATGCCGAGTTTGGAGAAGTCTGTGGACGTCAACCTCGCCTCTTGTATTGGGACGACCGGGAGGAAACACAAAAGGGATGTCAGAGTACACCCCTTGAAAAGCGATATCAAGGCAGCGAAAAACTTCAATGCAAGGGAACTGGGACCTGAGATCCAAAAGGGAGATGTCGGGTATATGAAGTGGAGGAAGTTCAGTCCGGAATAGCTGCCTTGATCTGCTCTTGTTGCGAAAACACCAAACATCGAGGAATTGTAGCCCTGGATGACCGCGGACTGTGAGTGTGCACTCGCCTATCCAGTGTTTGCAAGTGACAGCAAGGTGTTTGAGTTTTGGACAAAATATATCCTCCAATATGCCGCTGGTCCCAAAGTTCCAGTTCAAAGCAAGGAATGTCACATTTGTTCCAAAAGCTTCCAAAAAGAGTGGTATAAGGGCTATTGACTGGTGTCCACCAGCAACAGAGGTGAGCCATAATCGTTCTAGTTTCGGCATAGACCAAGTCCAAATCAGGGGCATCGGGAGGGTAATGTGTGCTTCTTTGAGCCGTATCGACACTCGTAGCTCTTCCAGGAGCAAAAAATTCAGTTGAGGATACCAATCTTGATGACCCTCGGAGAATGGAAGACAAACGGAACGAAGGGATCCACACAATTGCGTTAAGGCTCCAAGCATGAGCATGGTGTCAACTTTTTCGGTGAACTCGATACTTGTGATTGTTGTGGGGAGGGTAGGTAGATTGTGGCACAAACTGGGAATGCGATAGATTGGCACGAAGCCGAAATGGTTGAGTCGAGGACAGTTCGCTAGTATTTGGCGCGTTTGTTCGTCGAAGAGTCGGTGGTACCCGCGCGGGACGAAACAGCTCAGATCGATGCGGCGCACAATTTCTCCGTAGGTGCTTTTCCTCTCCGAGAGAGTGCGCAAAAACGCCGTCATTTGTCCAACACTTCGCAAATGGATATTTTTGTAGAGCATTTCCGTCGCAACGAGGTTCCAGTTCTTGCAGACAAGAGTGAGAGAGGTTTTATACTCCAGGTCAATGGTATACATGGAGCCGAGCGTTAATTCGCGGGTATTGCGCAGCATCCATAGCGGAGGCAAGGATTTGGGGAAAATAGCGAGTAATATCTCATGAGGCAGTTCTGCCACCGAGATTTTGGGCCTTCGATAGGATGACAACGCCTCGTAAGCTGCCTGTGTGACGGATACTCGTGTACTGAGAGGCAGGGTGTGCATGAGTTTTCAACGAACCAGTAGTTTTCCCGAAAGTTGCCCAACCGCTTCTCGGAGCTCGACATTTTCACGCCTCAGTTGCAGGAGTTCGTTCAAATAATCGTCCGAGGCAGCCATCGTATTCTGAATGGTTATTTGCTTAGAATGGATCTTGTGTGGTCAACGTCTTTGGATAAGAGTGGTCACGGCCATCAAGCTATGTTCAAGTGGCAGCCACATCGTTTACGAACTCCCGTCTACCAAAACACTGGCTCTGTCGCAAGAGATCATCTTGCTCTGGAGCGGACATACCTAGCCTGGCTCAGGACAGGTCTCGGTTTCGTGGCTTTAGGCATCGCAGTTGAGCGATTCGCCCAACTACATGTGCAAGAACTGCTCCAGCCCCGATCTACCCTCCCCTTGCAATCTCTCCTCCGAAAGCCCGCCATATAGGTGATGGCGATACAAGACTACTCGTTGGAACTTTGCTGGGCACTGGTGGCGGCGCGATTGTTTATGGTACAACCCGTTATTTCTCCACGATGCGTTTTCTGGAGAAAGGGCTATATCGACCAGCATATTATGGTGCAGCAGCCCTCGGTATGGCGGTTGGCGGAATTTCAGCCGTAGTTTATTGGACGGCGGTCAGAAAACAGCGAGCTGGCAGTAGTCCTTACGAGTCACGGTAGTGGTCTGCAAGTTCATATAGCCTTTAAATCCGCTTTCGGAGAATTTCATCCCCCTTTTCAAGCCTATACAAAATGAACCCATTTTTCACAGTCTACAACAAGAAAACAAGACTTTGGCATGGAATCTTCTATAATAACCTCAGTGATTCAACCTTGGACATGGGTGTGTAGTCCTCTTCTAGTATGGTACTCAATATCACTTACACACTAAACTCTAGGTGCTGAATGCGACGTGCTTTGGGGATCCTTCCGTCTCTACAAAGCCAACTGTGGTCCTCTCGATTACTACGTTATCTTGGGCGATGGCACTTTGCCTTCCGTGTTGACAGAATACGCTCGCTTAATCTCGCCTGACAATGATTTCAACACATTCGCCCCTTCTCCATCCCTCCCTCCACTTTCCCAGTTCGGGTATCTCTCCTCCAGCTTAACTCTTGCCGCAGATCCTCATGCCCAAGACGCGGTCATTCAGTTCCTTAAGGACTGCCGCACCAACGGCTTCCCCGTGGACGGATTGTATCTTTCTTCTGGATGGTGCCAAGACGAGGTCACCGACGACCGCAACTACTTTGTGTGGAACCGCGCACGTTACCCATCACCTGCAGACCTTGGTCGGATTGTCGAGCAGGAACTTGGAGTTCAACTCATTGTCAACATCAAGCCATGGCTCCTCAAACACCATCCGCGCTATCTCGAGGCGAAGAAGATAGGTGCATTCGTCCAACCCGCGCCGGATGCAGAGAGCAACTCCAATGCTGCCATGAGTTACGTATGGGCAGCTGGTTTCGCATCACACAAACCTGGCTCTTACTTTGACTACTCAACTCGAGCTGCGAGTGAATGGTGGGGGGCTCGCATCCGAGAGGAGTTGCTGGCCAATGGTTTGACTGGGATGTGGTAAATTTCTAGCGAATCGGAATGGGGACTATCAAGAGGGGCTGATCAACGTTCAGGATCGATAACAATGAAATGGCTGGTTTGTTAGACGACGACGAGCGCTTTAAGGGAGAAGTGGGAATGTTTGCTGCCGGGAAAGACCGCGCCGAAGAGAATGTGGAAAGGCGTATGGGCTGGGCTGGTGGGGAGACCCGCGTTGGCAGTGTTGGAAAGGCCATTCAGACGATGGGAATGGCCAGAGTAAGTGCCCAATTTGTGACATGTGGGCTTTTTAATCTTATCCAACTGCCCAGGCAACATACGAAGCGCTAATCACTGCTCGTCCTAATGACCGTCCCGTTATTGTGTCTCGTTCAGGAGTACCTGGGATTCAAGCTTATGCCCATGCTACCTGGAGCGGTGACAACTCCACGACATGGAAGGCGCTACGTTGGGGTACAAAAATGACGCTTAGTGTCGGGATGAGTTTTGGTCCTGGGTTATATGGTCATGATATAGGCGGTTTCGCCGGCGCACATCACCCTAGTCCGGAATTACTCGTTCGTTAGTGCCAAAATGTTGGTTTTCGACGAAATGCCTGACGCAAAATACTGACCAAAATTGCAGGGTGCTTGGCACACACGTTTCACTGTTGTATGTCGTCCTTGTGCTCGTCGACTGCGTTTGATCTTGTCCTCAGCATTCATGGAAAGAGGTGTCAACTACGATGTGGATGTATAATGGTGTCCCAGGCATCAGTGAGGCCATTCGAAAAGCACTGACATTCCGTTACCGCCTCGCGCCAACCTTTTATTCCCTCTACGTCAGTGACTATTACCGCCATGGCTGGCCTGTCCTCAAGCCTCTTCTCTGGCATCATTCAGTCGATCCAAAGACCCTTGAAATGGACGAAGAGTTCCTGTTTGGTTCACATGTTCTCGTGGCCCCCGTCACCATCAAAGGCGCGACAACGCGACGTATTTACCTACCATCGGAGGCAAATGATGGCGACACAGGCTTGCATTGGTGTGAGCTCGATACCGGTACATGGCATAGGGGCGAAGGAGACTTTGTGGTTCTTGGTTTGCTGCTTTTTTCTCAATGACCAAGGTCCTGATTTTTTTAAAGATGCGCCATTGCGGCGCACTCCCACTCTCGTTCGCGGAGGTGGGATTGTGATCCTTGGAGGACACTGCCCAAACAACATTTATGAAGGGGTTGGCGAACGGACTGCGCTCATCTTTCCTGCTCCAAAGGGTCCCTCCAAGGGGAGCTTCACTCTCATTGAAGATGACAGACGCACCAACGCCCATACACATGATGGCATGTACACCGAACTCAACGTGTCTTTTGAGGCAAATGAAATGGAGGTCGTGGTCGATGTGCAGGTTCTCAAGCGAAAATACCAGCTTTGTTACAATGTTATGTGGTTTGAACTACCCGGAGGCGACAGGAGGACGATCTTGGCCAAAGACGGTAGAGTGGTGGCCAATCGCGATGTTGTCGGAAAACCACCGCAGGTTGGCATTTTCCTCCAACTGGAAACCTCGTCGGATGTATAGTGTAAACACGATAAGTTAGACTGGTTATATGTGCTAGTGTCATAATATGGCTAAACTCTTGTCAGTTGTAGGGTCAGGTTTGTGAGGCGGGTTTGCTGGATGAGCCATGATTTGACATATGGACGTGTACTTGCCATATTGGACCAAGCCATTGCCAAGCCACGTCGATGGTCCAATTTGTCTTCGACTGTCATGACACTTCCAAGGCAGTTATCAAAATTTACATTCATCGAGTTTAAACTAGTGTTTACTCAAGTCTAATTGGAGGTGAGCACAGCGTTACGCAACGCAACCGCTTTCTCACCCACATTCCCCACCTTCTCGACAGGTCGGAAGCGGGAATGGCGAGCAAGAACCCGAGCTGCTGGGTTGCGTCTTGCTCGTGCGGGTACGTGATCCGCTTCACGCAGCGCGCCGTGGATCCTGACAAGCTCGGTCAGCCCGCTTAGAGCAAAGACAATGCAGCAGCGCATTACTTTGTCTCCCGCTCCCTATAAGCTACCCGGCGACGACGGAGAGGACATCAGCACCTCACTCTGTCTCGCCAGGTATGCCCGCATGCATCTGTATCTACTTACTCACTCTGTCTCGCCAGTTGGACTTTGCGCTACCTGAATAAACGAGTTCATTCCATCTACCTCTCATATGACCGATCATGCACAACGACCATACACTCTTACCCCCCAGCAGCAAGCATCCCTTGATGCCTGGGTTAAGTCTTACGAGGAGGGAAGGACTGACCGCACAGAGGTCACCTACCAACTCACCGCCTTGCTCTTCAACGCCTGTTCAGACCAAAATGTCCAATTCTCATCTGCAGTGCTCAGACCGTCCCTGGAGCGACTGGACGCGATTGACAACCAACAACGAAGTTGTGCCGGAAGGTCCTAACAACTCCGGCGGAGGCTCCCGAATTCGTCGCCGAGAACAGCTTGATGAGGAAGAGCCAGCGCCTAAGCGTCAAAAGGTCGACTATGCGGCTCTCTTCAGGCCGTCCCGGCGCGGCCGAAGAGTTCCTCGACTCCATTCTTCCAGCCAAAGTCTTACTCGTATCAGCTCGAGTCCAGGTCTACTCCGAGGATATCCAGGAGGCCGTCCGCCATGCACAAACCTCCCCCATGGATGCCGAGTTTTCCACCCAATCTCTGGAAACCAATACTCCTCGACCAATATGTCGATTTCGACCTTATTCGCGCCAAACACCTATGCAACAGAACCAGAGAGACCTGTCGAGTTGGTCCTCGGCGAGACCGGCTTCGATGTTCAGGTTCGGAAATCTAAAGTGGTCGCCACCATCACCACAGCTGGTCAATGGAACACAGCGTTTTGGATCTATTCCGAGGCAGTCAACAGCGCCTTTCAAGGACGAGCAGTTGAACTCCAAACCTATCACCGTCTCATCAATGCAGCTTTCGCCAGTACTCACGACATCTACCATGGTCGTGTCCTCCAAATACGATCGCGCCCTCCGTGTCTACATCGGCCAGACCCGACGGTTGTTGCTCGATGACGCTGGAACTCTACACGAGATCAGACATGCGCACCTGGCCGAAACGGGATTGCACGTCACCCAAACAATTGAGCGGCACCAGCTCAGCACGCGCGACCGCTCGTCCAACAGTCAGCGACGAAGAGGTGGACCTGTTGAGATCTGCAAGAATTTTAACCGGAAGCGCTGCAGCCTCGCACACTGTCGCTACCGCCACGCCTGCCTCGAGTGTCACGGGAATCATCCAGCGGAAGAGTGCCCGGACAGGCTTAACCGGCGCGCTTGAAAGTAATCGTGACGCGCTCCTGCATCGCCTTGCGTTAGAGCAGTCGGAAAGCGACAATGACGGGGTGGCCTGCTACCTCCCGCAGTTTATGCGAGGAATGGGCTGGAAGGAGTTTGAGCAAGTGTCGTACAGCCGAACTGCCCGATACACTGAGTTCGATGAACCACTTCCTCGCCCATCCCCGAGCGAATTCTCCAATGAGTTGGCCATGCGCACCATCTTGGAGAATCCCGACCTATTCCAAGTCCCTCAAGTCATCCGTGTCGACCGCCTTGAAGCCATGCTGGATCATCATCCCAACCAACCATTCATTCATTCTGTCTTGACTGGCCTCCGTGAGGGTTTCTGGCCTTGGGTTAACACGCACCATGACGCTGGATACCCGTCTACCTGGGACAACTCCTGGGCTCCACCACCGTCCGAACGCGAACGCGACTTCATCACAAATCAGCGTGATCTTGAGGTCGCAAAGGGGTCGGTTTTCACGCACTTTTGGCCCAGACCTGCTTCCCGGCATGTACAGCACTCTCATCTTCGCGGTCCCGAAGCCTCATAGCGATGATCTCCGTCTAGTCTCGCACCAGAGTGCTGGGTTGTTTGCGCCAAAACACGATGGTCGACAAACTGCAGACCAAAGGCCCACGGATGGACACGATGCAGCAGTTTATCCCCGCACTGCTTCGCTTCCGTCGCCAAGAGCCTCACGCGCGTATTGTGCTCTTTAAGTCAGATGTTTCTGAAGCCTTCCGACTCATACCCCTTCACCCACTCATGCAGATCAAGCAAGTGGCGACCAGCAACTTCCCAACCAAAGCCGAAGCCATGTCTGGGAAGGACAATGGTCCGCTACAACGAAATGTCGACTGGTGTTGCACCTTTGGTAGCTGTGGGTCACCGAGAATATGGTCGTCGGTGATAGGCCTCGTGATATGGATTGCTATATTCGTCAAGTCAATTGTAGACTTGTTCTGCTATGTTGACGATGCGTACGGGTGGGAATACAGCGACAATTTCCTCTATTATGAGCCATATCATAAGTCCATGCCCGCCAAACAGGTCAAACTCCTCCAACTCTGGGATCTTCTCGGCATTCCGCATAAGGAGAAGAAACAGCTACATGGTGATTCACTCACCATCATAGGTTTCGAAATCAACCCTAATACTATGACTATGACCTTGCCACCCTCCTCGAAAGCCGATCTTATTGCCGCAGTTCTCGACTTCATTGCATCTCCGTCTCGTCGACGTACCCTCCACGAGTTCCAGTGCCTTGCCGGTTGGATCAACTGGTCCTTCAACATGTTCTTCTTGCTCCGACCAGCCCTCTCGAACGTGTACGACAAGATGTCCGGGAAGTCTAACGCGCATGCCCAAGTCTACATTAACAACGCTATCAAATCGGACCTGACATGGTTTGTGAATCACCTCGAGCGTTCCGATGGCACTCTGCTGCTTGACACCTTAGATTGGAACCCACACACAGAAGCCTTCGCCACCATGTACTGCGACGCTTCCCTCGGTGGTATGGGGTTTTGGTTACCTGAGCATTTGCTAGGTTTCCATGCACCTGCTCCGAGCGACACCCCCAGCGACATCATCTTCTACTTCGAAGCGCTATGTGTCGCCTGTGCTTTGGATTGGCACTGCTGCAACGTTCTTCTACACACGTCTTGTGCAACACGTTACCGCATCACGATTTTTACTGACAACGCTAACACTGTCAGCATTTTCAGCTCACTGCGCGCAAAACCAGCCTACAATACCATCCTACGCAGCTCGGTGGATAACCTCTTAAGGTTTAATGTCGACCTCCGCGTGTTGCACATCCCGGGAGAACTTAACTCTGTAGCCGACGCTCTCTCCCGCGGCCGTCTCGACGTTGCTCGAGAACTAGCCCCAGGTCTTATCATCAACAAGTTTATACCCCCTCGAGAGGCGCTGGGGGCCCCCGAGCTATGATTACTGCCATCATTCCGTCCAGGCAACCCGTTCGGGAAGCCTGGTCGCATGAGCGTTTTGAACGCGAACTTGCTATCGCTCTCAACGCCTCGGTCGACATTTCAACCACCCAAACTTACGGGTCGGCACTCAATTCTTGGATCGAGTTCTGCCGCATCAACCATTTCTCCATCAGGAAATTTGCGCGACCCTGATGTCCGTTGGTGCCGCTGATCAGCTGAGATCAGCTCGGCGACAGCTTGGCAATCGCTGATCATACGCCGCCTATCTGATCAACTTGGTGCCATGCTGGCAAAAGCCTGGTCGACTGCTGGCCGGCACTGGTCAAGGATCCCGCCAGGCTGCCCGGAGCGGCAGCCTGGCCCATACTAATGTCATCTATTACTGCTCTGTATCACGTGCCTGCTTCATTTTGGCTTGATCTACTTACATATATACTTGAGTTGGGGCTGGCCCCCGTTGCAAAAGTGAGGAACAGTCTGTAACAGTTCGGAACAGCAAAAATTCCAAGTCCAAAATATCAGCACGTGCATCGATGGCGTGATGATTACTGATCTGTTGACAATCTGATCGGGTCGTCACACGCGTCTTGGGGTTATTCCTGCCCATCATCTTCCCCTCCTCTTCCCCCCACAATCTCTCTTGGAGCGAACGCCCCGTACCTTCATCAAGGCTACATGAGTCCCGCAAGCTCAAGCCTCCCGCAAGCTCTCAAGTACCCGCTGCATACCTCAATCCGCTTCAAACTACCATCAAGGCTGCGCAAGCTGGTGCTCAAACTAATTCTCACAACCAGGTCAAGGGTCACTCATCAACACGCCACAAGCTGAGGTCTACCATCGCCCCTCCGACTATGATTGACACTTGCGAGTTGGCGCGGGGGGGTGGGGTGATTGGGAGGGGGACGCAACCTGGCATTCAAAGTACGTCAACAGTATGTCAAGCACTTGTCAGTTGATGTGAGCCTTCAAGCGCAGATGCACAAGTAGGAGTGGTTGGCAATCTGCAGCCCGCGAACGCGTTGACGACCTGCTTCAATGGTGAAACAGGTACACATCTCACTTGTCATCTATCCCTGCCTGACTTGATTCCAGGTGGCTTTCGCGCAGCCTTACGAGCTCAACGGGCTGCCCTGGAGCCGTCGAATAGAGAATAAGCGATGTTTACTGTGGTTTCATTCAAATATATGGCTGTTTTATTACATTTTTTTGCATGGAAATAAGTGGATTGTGGTCGATTATTGACTGTAGCTTGGCTGATACACCGCCAGACTGGTCAAGTCTCCACTGGCACGACCAACCAGAGCCCAGATGTCGAGTACCTGACAAGAATATCACCTTGCTTGTGGCAGTTTGGTGAGTGTTGGCGAAAATGAGTCGCCCTGGTAAGCACTCACTTGGGGTTGGCCAAGTGGATCGCCAGCATGGCCGCACTGGTGATGTTGGTAAGCGCTGGTCAACGTTGACCATGATCGCGCAAATTCCCTGATGTCGACAGAACCCACAGAAAAAACTCTTGCTTACTTCGTGGTCTATCGCTCAACACACATCAACCCCAACTCTGTCGATTCATATTTGTCAGGAATCTGTAATCAGCTGGAAGCCGTTTTCCCCCAAGTTCGCGCGATGCGCAGAAGTGTTCTCGTGTCTCGCGCTCTGAAGGGTTGCAAACGCATCCACGGTCAGCCTGTCAAAAGGAAAGATCCTTTGACCCTTGCACACCTACGTAAAGCCATCGACTGCTTGCCCAGCATACCCACCCATGACGATCTCCTCTTTATCGCCATCCTCCTCTCCGGTTTCCACGCGCTCCATCGTCTTGGCGAAATGACTATGCCTGACAATCCCAGGCTCCGGAATCCTCGGAAATACACAAAACGTGAATCCGTTACTCTAAATGCAGAGAGTTACGAGTACTGGCTTCCAGCACACAAAGCGGATATTGCCTTTGAAGGCAACCGCATCATAGTCGCAGATCAAGCGGCCCGAAAATATTTTCTACTCTACCTCAACTCTCGAGACCGAGCACTACCGTTCAACCCTTATCTTTGGGCTCGGGAAAACGGGCAGGTACCGCCACGGGCCTGGTTTATCAAACGACTCAGACACATCTTCCCTGACCCCAACATTGCTGGCCAGTCCCTCCGAGCAGGCGGAGCCACCCACCTCGCAGAAGACGGTGCTCTTCCCCACATTATACAAGCAGCTGGGCGTTGGTCATCCGAGGCTTTCCAAGTCTATCTGCGCAAGCATCCTATCGTCCTACACGCTCTCCTACGCAGCGGCGGCAGCGGTATCCGGCCCTCATCATCATAATTCTCCTTTTCTCTATTACCCTCCATTACCCATATCGGCCCTTCATACCGCTCGGCCCCTGCCAATTCATCTTGTAGTTTCGGGGCAGCGCCCCCGGGACTGACTTCCGACTAAACTCATCAATCGCGATCCAACGAACGACGACAATTAGTCGAGTTTAAACTAGTGTTTACTCAAGTCTAATTGGAGGTGAGCACAGCGTTACGCAACGCAACCGCTTTCTCACCCACATTCCCCACCTTCTCGACAGGTCGGAAGCGGGAATGGCGAGCAAGAACCCGAGCTGCTGGGTTGCGTCTTGCTCGTACGGGTACGTGATCCGCTTTCACGCAGCGCCGTGGATCCTGACAAGCTCGGTCAGCCCGCTTAGAGCAAAGACAATGCAGCAGCGCATTACTTTGTCTCCCGCTCCCTATAAGCTACCCGGCGACGACGGAGAGGACATCAGCACCTCACTCTGTCTCGCCAGGTATGCCCGCATGCATCTGTATCTACTTACTCACTCTGTCTCGCCAGTTGGACTTTGCGCTCCCACCCCGTTTCACTCCACACCCTCTTATTTCCATATTTTTTCACCTTACTTATGTCATGTAAACCCATATCGGCCCTTCATACCGCTCGGCCCCTGCCAATTCATCTTGTAGTTTCGGGGCAGCGCCCCCGGGACTGACTTCCGACTAAACTCATCAATCGCGATCCAACGAACGACGACAATTAGACCCAGTAATTACCCAAAATAAGACCAAGTACGGTACGAACTATATAGAAAAGGAAGTTATAGGTACATTTAAAGTATTTACAGTTGAGGCATCAGTAGACAACATCGACGACCGTATTCCAATTTGCTACGCGCTGCACAAGCTCTGGGCTGGGCAAAGCCGAGCGATGGACCCTCAAATACTCCAATGCGCGCGAGTCGACCATAGAGATGAGTGCCTCCTCCGTGCAGCGCTTTCCGCAATGGCGGAACTCGACAGTTCGAAGAGCTGACGCGATTGGTTGGGGTTGGTTGGTGAGAGCTCTCAAGAGAAGATCGCCGACGTTGCGTTGCGACCCCCGATTGGGAGGTGCCTCGAGTACAAGCTCGACCACATTTGGCACTCGTTGGAGACACTCGATCACCTGCGTTTCAAATAGCGGCAGATTGGCGAGATGCAGGGAGCGGAGCTGCGTGGCGCCGAGATACGAGAGAAATGGCGTCTGAGGCCAAGTGCTGATGGGCCACATCATGGCGCCATGGTCACGAAGGGATAGGTGGAGTAGATTTGGGGTGTCGAGCAGATTGAAGAAAGCCCCAACCCTGATAGACCGTTGCGGTGTTTCTGAGTCGCGGAACTTGAGTGATAGTGAGCGTAGAGCGGGTGCGTGCGCCATAGAACGGCGGCGAGGAAGAGTGTCATTGAAAGCCAAACGGAGCTTAATAAGATGTGCTGCGCTGGAGAGCAAGTCCAAGGCGTCATCGCTGCTCCAAAATATTGCCCCAGGCGCGTTGGAGTGGGGGAGGAGGGTGAGTTCGGTGAGCTCATTGTAAGCCAAGCCGCCGATTTTCCCGACATCGAAGAAAGTGTGGCGAGCGGTAAAGGTTTTCAGGCACCGAGCATCATTCAAAGCGACGACAAGGTCTGGGGTGGCGAGTGTAGGCCAAGGTGTGTTGATTTTGAGATGTTCCAGTACTGGAAACGAGAGTTGTCGCATTTCGAGTGAAAGGAGGGATGCCTCTGGACTATTGATTTCCAGACTATGCAGGCGGTCAGAATGCCCCAACACGACTTGAAGTAATGAGCCCAGCGAGTTGGCGGTGTGGACCGAATTCAGCTGCGCTAACGATATGTCGAGCAGACGACGACCGGCGCGTTGGAGCCACACGTGGACGAGTACAAGTAGCGCATCCACCGACGACTCATGCCGCTGAGTAACCACGACAGCCAGAGTGGACCACAATGCCGAGTGAAGGAGTGCAGTCGTCCGCCAACGACGACAAACTTGAGAGACATTCAACGGGGAATGAGCCAAGCTGGGCAAGGTCAGAGATTCCCTGCTCATATCGAAAATGATGTCCCAGAGCTCAACAGGGAGCTGAGTGGCGGGAGAGCACTGAGCAGCATAATGACGAAGAGCTGTAGGCATTCGAGCCGGTGTTGGGGATAGAGTTGGAGCAGCTGGACGTCCTCAGACAATTGAGGAGGACGGCCCCAAGCCTCATATAATTTTTTTGGCGAGGGGTAAGCGGCGAAGGGTCACCCTGTGACCATACTGTTTCCGCCGTCAGCCGCCGTCGGCCCGTGGGTATACTTTCCTTCACTGGAAAGTCTTTCAAGCATCTCTTGTCTCGCTGAAAGCTACGTTTGAGTTCATCCTTCCCTTAAATTTGAGACTGCCATCCGTTGAAGCTGCTTAAAGTTTACCACCTTTTAGACTCTCAAGCTGCTCGGCTAACTGTCTTGTTTTTCTTCTTCTTCTTCCGAATCTCGCACAACAGACATTTTACGTCAAACACGCCCCGCCGACATGCTTCAAGCGATTGTTCGCCGCCTTGAATGTCTGGTTCACCAAGTACTGTATAACGTCTGATTCATGTTACAGCCCAAGATCATTCCCCACAAAAACAATGAAACATCGATTCTCTGGAGTTCGATGTTGAGTGGTACCTGCAACAGTTTTAGAAGACTAAAGCCACTCGGTAAATACTAAATCCTCGCCGCTCCCGGCTAACTGTGCGTGGTGTTCCCACATGGCGAGGCTGGCCCGAGTCGGTGTCAGACATCCAGTTCCTGTCCAGAGACAGAACTGTTGTAACCCCGAGTCTTCTCCACAACTTCTCCACCACGGCAAGTAACTTTTTTTTGTGAACCACAAGGGCTGTAAATCTATACCCACATCGTTTGTTTGTTTGTAATACGGTACATGCCTCCATCGGAGAACGACCGTTAGATTCCAAAAAAATCAGCCCACAAATTTAGCAAAGATATTGCCTTTTGCAGACGATTCACAGAGGCATGGATCGGCTTCTATCTGATTCCGTGCTAACCCGAGACGATCCGGCGCTGGTGATCTTGTCACGGGACTAATTGTTGTTTGCCAAGCCACACTTTGAGTCGAGGTCTGCACTATCTACTTCGCTGGACTGGGGGTCATCCCTTGCTGTTGCCACTGCTGTGGGAGTAAAGCCCATGCTGACTATGGACTTGCCGCTCGAATTCCATTTTCAAGTCGTCGAGGAATTGCAACTCGTCTTGATCTCCTCCTGTCGTTGCTATCGGACTTCTCGTCATGAATCCACCCTTGGCTGACACGTCTACGATGAACCACGGCGAGCGCATTGTTACCCCATTGACCAAGACGCGTCAATCTTCTTCTGAGCACCCCTCGTGCTGATTATAGCTTGTGGACTCGGATGGTACGTATCGCGACCTCGTTCTGTATATAAAGCCATTGGACCGCATTGCGTAGCTGATCAGTGTAGGTCACCCAATCCCCCTCATCCAGCACTTGACCATGTTCCGCGCCGCTCTTCTTCTCAGCCTGGCTACTGTCGCACTTGGACTGTCCGCAGGCGATCTCAAGGTCTCCGTCAAGGCTATCTCCCCATCAGTCGAATCTGTGGATGACATCGTCATTACTGCAGTTGTTAGCAACCCGACCAACAAAGACATTCGCGTTATTGCGAAGAACAACATTTTGGACGGCTCTGCTACACGCTCGTTCGCTGTAAGCAAGGATGACGGCTCGGTCTTGTTCACTGGTGTTCGGGTAAGACCCCATTCATCTCTCTTCCGCCATCAAATGCTGAATTTCTCGCCAGACAACACTCGATTTGAGTGCTGAGGGAATCTACACGACCATTCCAGCGGGTTCTTCCATCGCAGTCAACCACACCGGACTAGGAGCCCTGTACGACTTCGAGCATTCGGGAACTGGCTCGTTCAACTTCGCTCCCAACACTTTCTTCCAGACTGGGCCGGATGCGGCCGTGCTTCATGTTGAAACCAATCCTATCTCGGTCGAGGTCACGCGGGATGTTGCGAAGCGTGAACTGATTCCTGTGGAGCGCCGCACGTCGACACCCGTCTGCAATGATTCCGGACGGCTACAGCTGATCAGAGAAGGTCTGGCGAATGCCCGCTCGATGGCCGGAGGCTCTGCGACCGACATTCAAAGCCATCCCAACTCTGCCGAGTTCAGCACTTACTTCGGCGGAAACAACCAGAACGACATCTGGTACAACATGGACCGGATCGCAGGTGACTTGTCGAGCATTTCTGGTGACAGAACGTATGCTTTTCAGACTTTGATGCTGCATGAGAACTAAACAGGCTTCAGCATCAATTGCAACAACGATCCTGCTGCTCTGTGCGGAGGCAATGGCGGAGTTATCGCGTATGTGCTCTTCCAAAGTGCAACCCGCAATAGACTGAGGCTCCCGGTAGCTATACCATCGTCGTGACTAGCGGTGGCAAGATCGTCGGAAGCAACGTGAGTCTAACGAAACAAAGAAAGAAAGCGACTGATCGGCCTAGATTTATACCTGCGACATTTACTTCACCGCCGTCCAGCCCACCCCCAACATCTGCGCCAGTGAGTTTCTATTACTTACATCCCAACCATTGAGCTGAGAGCCAACTTTTCAGACGGCTTCGACTCGACCACATCGAGCAGGGGCGGCGTTATCCTCCACGAGGTTCGTTTGCACTTGATCTTTTTTGTAGAGTGCACGCTGACCATCTTCAAACAGCTTTCCCATGCTACCTCTGGATCCGGCGACATTGTCTACGGCTGCAGCAACACAGCCCGGCTTTCCGCAGCGGACAAGAAGAACAACGCCGACAACTACAGGTAAGCCGTGCTTGTCTCTTTCTGCTCAGTCACGGCGGTTGACAACTTTTAAAGGTGCATGGCCTCAGCAATTTACAGACACTACAACTGTTAGGTGATGAGGCAACGTTTTCTGTAATGCTCATGTCAGCCAAAATCAATGCAGAAATGTCAAATGATGAGACTCTGAATACAGCCTTCGGAAATCTGCGGAGTCTGACGACATTTTTGGTCCACTCCAATCGCAGTTTTCGTTTCAGTGAAATGGCAATGACTATGATAAGCACAATGCTTCTGAATTGAACTAGCAGTTGTAGTGTTTGTAGATCGCCAGCCCCATACATCTTGGAGAATCGTCAATTTCAATAAGTCCACCTTGATCGATAACCGACCTGTAGTTGTCCGCGTTGTTCTTCTTGTTCGCTGCGGAGAGCTGAGCCGTATTGCTGCAGCCATAGATGATATCGGCGGAGCCTGAGGTCGCGTGAGAGAGCTAGTCTGGTGGTCAACCGGTGCTGGTTTTCAGGCAAAGGGCTAAACCTCGTGAAGAATAACGCCGCCTCTGCTTGATGTGGTGGAGTCGAAGCCATCTAGATAAAACTGATTTCCAGGACCGGAAATTCTGACATGCGAAAGACGCACTGGTACAGACGCTGGGGGTGGGCTGGACGAGAGTATAGAAAATTTCGCAAGTGTAGATCTGGATAGGTGTCTGAATTCATGGAGCTTGAATATCCCAAAGACACTCACATTGCTTCCAACAATCTTTCCGCCGCTGGTGACAACAATAGTGTACCTGTGGTAGTTTTTCAGCATGATAAACTCTTTCGGGCCATGAACATACGCGATGACGCCACCATTGCCTCCACAGAGTGCGGCAGGGTCGTTGTTGCAGTTGATACTATAAGGAAGTTGGTCAGCTTGGGTCCTTGAAAACCCGCCAGAATATGCTGACGTTCGGTCACCAGAAATGCTCGAAAGGTCGCCCGCAATGCGATCCATGTTGTACCAAATATCGTTCTGATTATTGCCGCCAAAGTAGGTGTTGAATTCCGCCGAGTTCGGATGGGTTTTGATATCGCTCGCAGCACCACCAGCAAGAGACCTTCCGTACGACAATGAGTCTTTTATGATCTGCAGCTTGCCAGCGTCTCCGCAGACTGGCGTGGAAGTGCGGGCTTGCAGCGGGAAAAAGTTCGCGTTTGGCCACATCATGCGTGACTTCAATAGAGATGTTATTGGTGTCGACATGGATCGGGGCTGCACTGGGACCAGTTTGGAAAAAGGTATTGGGGACAAACCGGAATGAGCCTGTTCCAAAATGGTCGAAATCGTATAGAGCCCCGAGGCCAGTATGATTGACCGCGATGGACGATCCCGCCGGAATGGTAGTGTAGATGCCTTCGGCGGTCAAATCGAGAGTGGTCTGGGTAGTCATTCAAACACATAACACCCGGAAGCAAAAGATCACTTACCCTCACACCAGTGAACAACACTGAGTTGTCTGCTTTGCTAACGGCAAATGAACGCGTCGCAGAGCCATCCAGAATGTTGTTCTTCGCGATGACACGGATGTCCTTCTTGGTCGGGTTGCTCACTACTGCTGTGATGACAATGTCGTCCACGGATTTGACTGACGGCGAGACTGCCTTGACGGAAACCTTGAGATCGCCTGCCGAAAGTCCAAGAACAGCGGTCGCAAGGCTGAGAAGAAGACTGGCGCGAAACATGATGCAAGATCTGGAGTTAAAGGTCCAATTTGCAGCTGCTTTTATACTGCAAGCTGTGAGATCAGAACGAGAGCGGTCCGGATCGACTTGAGCGGCGCCAAAGAACCCATCCGTCCTCGTCGTCTGCTATATACTCAGCATTGACATCAGGTGCATAGAAAGCATGAGGTTCTGCAAGACCCAATCTCCAGTTTGCAACGCGGCGCGCATGTTGGAGCATTTCAAAACCATATGCCGCTATGGCGCTAGTTGAGACGACTGGGAATTGTAAACCAAAAGAGCGGAGAATGACTCTGCAGAAGGCCTTGGCGCGGCAACAGACCGCATCCTGATGTCTATTCAGTCGAGCAGTTGTTTCTGTTCAATTTGGTAGTCGGCGCGCACGCCCAACGGCGCCGTTCATTGAATAATGCATGATCTTGGAAAAGGTAAGTAACGGCCGTCTAGCCTTAAGAGCCTGTGAGGCTCGCGCGAGTCGGACGATCCGCAAGTAACCCGACCAGCTGTTAACTTGTGAACGTGGCGAAGCAGCAGAGGGTCAATTGAGGGAGGGTTACGGTACTGTCACGGTGTGATGGCCTCACCACCTGAATTGTGACTGTAAAAAGCACTATGAAGTTGGTTGTACAAAACCGCAAGTAAGGGCCATAAGTAAGTGTATAGTCAGTATGTCACAAGCGAACAAGAACTGCTCAGTAAAGCTTACAGCCTGAAAAAAGTTGAAAGTTTTTATTAACCTCACTAGACAGACCCAGACTCGGAATTCCCTCCGTTAAAGAGATTGAAATAATAAGCAAGCTCTCGGCGATGAGCAAGCACCATATTTATTAGCAATCGTAGTGTTTGTAGATTGCCAGGCCCATGCATCTTTGAAAACACCATTAATCCGACAAGTTCAAGTTGTCAAGCTATGTATGAAATGACGACACACCTGAAGTTGTCTGCGTTGTTCTTCTTGTCCGCTGGAGAGAGCTGGGCTGTGTTACTGCAGCCATAAATGATGTCAGCAGAGCCCGAAGTTGCATGCGAGAGCTTGTCTGGAAGTCAATATTATCCTAACTTGAAGTTGAGAAAGTAAACCTCATGAAGAATGACACCGCCTGTGCTGGATGTGGTGGAATCGAAGCCATCTAAACGAACATCAAATTTTCAGTGGATGAAAAGGACCAACATGTCAAATACGAACTGGTGCAGATGCTGCTGGGGTTGGACTGGACATCAGTGTACAGAATGTCACAGGTGTATATCTGAAGAATAACTCGATTTTGAGGTCAATGCGTCTGATGGTCAAAGGACTCACATTGCTTCCGACAATCTGACCGCCACTGGTCACAACAATAGTGTAGCTGCAGCAGATTTAACGTTAATGGACTGTTTGAGGAGATAACCTACGCAATGACGCCGCCATTACCTCCACACAATCCAGCAGGGTCGTTGTTACAGTTGATACTGCGAGAAAATCAAATCAGCTTCCTAGAAAAACTTAAACGGCTAAAACATACCTTCGGTCGCCTGAACGGTCGGACAGGTCACCCGCAATACGATCCATGTCGTACCAAATCTCATTCGGATCATTGCCACCAAAGTAGGTGTTGAATTCTGCAGAGTTCGGATGGGTTTGGAGGTCGGTGGCAGCACCACCGGCAAGGGAACGGGCGGATGCTAAAGCCTGTGTTAAGACCTGCAGTTTCCCGCCATCTCCGCAAACTGGAGTGGAAGTGCGGGCTTGCAGCGGGAAAAGCTCTCGTTTGGCAACATCATGCGTAACTTCGACAGCAATGACATCAGTCTTGACATGAATCGGGGTCGCATCGGGGCCAGTTTGGAAGAAAGTATTGGGGGCGAAGTGGAATGAGCCTGTTCCAAAATGCTCAAAATCGTAGAGAGCCCCGAGGTCAGTATGATTGACCGCGATGGATGAGCCGGCTGGGATAGTGGTGTAGATCCCTTCAGCTGTTAGATCGAGAGTGGTCTGAGTTGTCATTCAGACGCAAGCTATTTGGAAGTAGAGGAGCCTTACCCTCACACCAGTGAACAACACTGAGTTGTCTGCTTTGCTAACGGCAAATGAACGCGTCGCAGAGCCATCCAGAATGTTGTTCTTCGCGATGACGCGGATGTCCTTCTTGGTCGGGTTGCTCACTACTGCTGTGATGACAATGTCTTCCACGGATTTGACTGACTGCGAAACAGCCTTAACGGAAACCTTGAGATCGCCTGCCGACAGTCCCAGTACAACGGTGGCAAGGCTGAGGAGAAGACCGGCGCGAAACATATCACGGTTTCTTGGGGCTGGATCTATCTTGCAACTGCCTTTATACTGGTAGCTGTAAGATCAGGACGAGTGTGGTTCGAATTGACTTGAGCAAGTCGGTACTGCGACCGGGCGGCAAAGAACCCATCGTTTGTTATGAGCCCAACGGCATTACATCAAGAACTTGAAGAGCATAATGCTAGGCCATGCGAGACTCGGCATTCAGTGTAAGCATGTATCAGAGCGCACATGTCGGAGTGGCTCAGAGCCAAATGTGGTTGGTCCTGGTTGGTTCAAACTTGAACCCGACTGTATACTAACATCAGAACTGGCTGTCTTCACTCGAACATAACGAACACGTCGGGACCGTATCTCAATGCCTGACGCCCTAGAGTGAAGTTGATTCTGTTCGGGTCCGAGTTGAGGTAAACAGCTCATGTTCGCAGACGGCAAGAGGTGGAGTCACGCGCGACATCATGTGGTAAGATGTGATCTGATGTGATTCTTTCAAGTTTAAAAATACAGAAAATCGTTCATACAAAGCAAAATATCGAAAGCAAATACAAGCAAGCACCATAATTTCCATCAGTACTCAACCACCGCGAGGTACCTTAGTGGGCCGGTCCTGCGCCGTCTCGGGCTCTGGCGATCGCAACCGTTTCGCCGGCCCAGCATGGTGACTCCACCCACTTCCTACACGAGGCATCGGAAAAGTCGGGAAATAAACCTGGATAGAGGGTTTTCTTGTGCTGCGAACCAGCTTAGCAGCAGCAGTAGGCCCGATAGATGGCGTGGCCGTCGTCGCAGGACTCTGAATCGACTCCATAGCGCTGTTCGGCGTGTCTAGCAATACGACTGGCGACGAAGAAGGCGGTGGTTTCTTTTTATACTGGGTTGTTCACGTAAGGTTTCCAGAGAAAAAGGACGAAATGGTCAACATACAGTCTCTAGCTCAGGTTTGCCTCTCCACTTTTCAATTGCCTCGCAGAAACGCACTGCAGCGCGTTCAACGGGTTCTGCGGGGTATTGCCATGCCAGATCTTCCATATGCGTGGACAAGTCTGGTGTGGACAGCGGGATATCATAGAACTGTGACATGGTAAGCAAAAAAAAACCAGCAAACACGACACGCACCCGTCGTAGTCTTGTTTCCATTTCATTTTCATACTCTTCTTCCGCCTGCCCCTTAACCTCCTTGTTCCCGTCGCGCAACGCAGGAAACAGCAGTCGCGTTGCATCAAGTAAACTCGGCAGTTCATCCGGATCGAATTCTTCGAACTCGTCTCCGTCTTCTCGAGGGGTCTGCTTCCCAAGTCCAACTTTCAACAAACAATCTACGGCATCGGGGCCTTGCCAGCCGGCAGTTAAATAGCCTTCTAGCACCGCTCTTGTCAGCAGACCAGCTAGCAGAAGATACCATTCCCGAGAGGGCAGTAACGCGGAGGCATACATCGCCGTCTTGCTTTCGTCTGGTGAATCAGACGGCACAGGTGTAGCGGGTGGTGGCAACGGTTCCAAATCTGTTGGTGGTGCCCCTTCCCAATCTTGGCGTTCCGCAACAGACATTGGTGAATCCTCGTCGCCATCTTCTCTTTCCTCGACTGCTGGCTCCTCCTCCTCCCCACGTGCCTCACGACCCATCTCTGCCGCTACCATTGCTGAAAGCCGGATAAAGCGCGGAATCAGCTCCGAGAGTTTTGTATTGCCAGCGCCATTCTGTGTTGTTGACCCATCTGGCCCATCAAAAGTGTCCTTCGTTTTTCTTCTCAGAACTGTCCCAGTGCTTTTCGGTCTTAACAGCCCAGATCCGATTCCGCTACCATCTTGCCAGCCTGTTATTCCTCCACCCTCAGGACTGACACCTCCAGGCATGCCTTTCCAATACTGCGTTCTTCCCGCACCGTTCGAGTCGCCGAATGATGATGCGCGTCCGCGATTGCTACCCCGAGGAGTTGATTTGGCTTCGACGCAGATTTCACAGCCTGTATGCAGATGACGGGGACAGCGGAAGGCAGGAGGAGAGTTTGCCGTGCTTGGATCCGCCCCAGCGTTATAAAGTGCTCGAGTACGGGCACTTGCTGAAGGTGGTAGCCGGGGTTGAACCTGATCAGTCTTCAGTAAAGATACAAGGTAGAAAGAGCGCGAACAGGATAAAGTGGACCAGGTCCTGGACGAAGAGTTGAGCTTGAAACTGTCCAAGGTTGAACATTGGGCTCGTCAGGACACGAGGCCGATATTGTCGCAATATTTTTGAGGGCATCAGGAAGTCCGGGGTCTGCGGTAGCACTTGGAGTCGAAACGGGGGCAGCAGGAGATGCACTTGTTTGTTTTCGATGTCGATGAGGCTGCACTGGTGCCTGACGAGCAAACAAGTCGTTGATCATTGTCCCAAGCGACAAGCGAAGGCGAACGCCATTTGGCAACGCATGAGGCCCAAGGTTTTTACCGCCAGTTGGCTGTATTCGGGGAGATGTGGGCGGTGTAAGTAACTCTTCAGACGGAACGGGATGAGGTGGTGGGGCTTGCTCCAGCATCGATGTTATAACTTTTTCCACCCCTTCAGCACGTAGTCGTAGTGCTCGTGCAAGACTTAAGTCTTGAGAGCGAAGCCGCTCATCTTCGTCGTCGTTATGTGGCCTACCGGGGTCGCCGGCCCGAGCTTTAAGCGTAACTGGATCCTCTCCATCGCTCCCCACATCGTCCTCCTCCTCGTAGTTTTCTGGTCGCTGCCTATGGGCATACTGAGGTGTCCCGGCCCCGCCAGTGCGGTCAGTCATGCCTAGTTCTGCTCGAGCTTGTGCAAAACGAGTTCTGCCTTGAACATTTGAGACAACGATTACGAAAAAAAGAGGTTTAACACACACCATGGACCCATAGCATGTAGTCAACGATGAGAGTCCGTGTGCTCTTCTCTCTGGGTGGTATGGAATGCAGATGATGGGCATGTTTGTGCGCCGGGGCTTTGAAGGCGTTTGGATTGGCATTGGATGATACGCCGGAAGAGGAGGCGGCAAGGTTGCTGGCTGTCGAAAACAAACTTGAAACCGTATTTGGATTTGCCGTTGAGGAGGTGGAAGCGGTTGGAGAAACAGTGACCCCGTTTAACGGGTGTCTGGCAGGAACAAGCGTGTATGGATTGGAGCTGTCCGCGCCGACTGTCGCCATATTCGAGATCCCACAGCTGGGTCGCGATGGTCGAAGAAGTGGTCAAGACGGCGAATGGCAAGGATTTTGATCAGCAGATCGTGACCAAATATTATTTGCGGGAATTTTTGGACCAAGTGGGTATTTGCGCGGAATCTCGCCGTTTTGCACCCACGATCAGTTTTCTCCTTCGTCATCCATGGCTCGTCGCTCTGCACCACTGAACTCAGGCCCAGCCTACATCCCACCAAGCCAGTCGCAACGCCGCACACTCGCAGACCCCAACGAGACCGCCTTTGGGCGCTTTCTCCGGGAAGAAATCTTCGCACCAGAGAAAATTGGAGGGAACATCAGCCTACTGACCGGCGTGAGCATGTTTGTGGGCGGAATTTTAGCGGTGAGGACGTGGGGCGGGCTGATGGTCCCCGCATAGGTGTGTTCATATCCAAAATACCTGCTTTTTTCTGACCACACCTCGCCCAGAGAACCTGTTTCCGACACAGTAGCAAAAGCACGATACACCCAACTGGTTATTGCCAGCCACATAATAATTCATCCCTCACGCTTTACCCCCCCCACTTATCTTGCATAACTCAGCAATTAAAACACTGCAATACTGTCGTGATAGAGGGAGGCCCGATATTGTCAATGTTGTGTTCTCCAGTGCTAACGCCGGGATAATCAAATCTTCAACCTTTTGCTCAATCCACTCACCGCTTGCAGATGCTGGAGCTTTACGAATGGCTGCCTGCAAGGTGCACAGTACAGGTGGTCATTCCTGTCGATGCAATGCTGCCTCATGGCTCGGCCATTAACGAAAGCGGCATTGCAGTTCTTGAATGGACATCTAACTTGCAATGGTTTATGATTCCTTTTCGCGGCAGGGGAGTAGTAGCCACCGCCGCTAGCGTCACGTTCGCGGCCGCATTGGTCAACTGCGATGTATTCTTCTCTGTGATCGAGCACCAGCTCTATATCCTCGAGGCTTCGATTCCTCGCAAGCACACTGGACCTAAATGCTTTTTCATCGTCATTTCCAAGTCCCAGACCGTCAGAGAAAGCACCCTACCACCAAGCTTGCTCCATATCGTTTCGGGGACATGAATATCAGTGAACAGCCAACGAAATCTCTCCGGACATTCTCGCTCGTAAAGACCAACGAAGTAGAGCCTAAGCGTAAAGTATTCAGATCAGTAGACTCTGAAGGTGTCCGCGGTACTAACAGTGAGACGAAGACGACATTGTAGATGCAATCCAGTAAGGTGTCGGCCTGCGCACGACTACCAAATATCGAAGCCATGAGTTCGCCCACGCCGAAGCCTACTGTAGAAATAAGGAAGATGACCCGGTAGAGGTTGATTCTAGGGATCGTTCGCATGGCGGGAGTATCTTCGCCCATCGCGATGCTTTAGAGTCAGTTTCAAAAGCAAGCCAGGTTTATGACAAACTCGTGGCGTACTGCCTTGAAGTACAAAGCTGTAGAACACCCTGAGGGAGTTTCCAAAAACTGAGCCGCGGCGCTTATCGATAATCTCCTTGTTTGACGCAGAACTACTTACCAGCTTCTTGAAGTCTTCTTCTACACAATAGATCAAACGTGGTCTCGTGATAACCGTTCAAGTCACTCACACCGGAAAAAGCAAAATATCAGCTCGAACAGAAACTGTAATTGATTTTAGACCAATCTGAAGTAGAATTAGGCCGACTTAAATGCAAAGTTTTAATTGAGCAGAAACCTACTCAGAATTTGGACAAACATGTACAAAAATCAGCTCCAACAAAACCCCTTCTTTCTTCTAACCTGAAACAGCTACGGAAACTATGCCTATCAGCGCTAGTTTCCGCACTATTGAAAGTGGCAATTTATGGCTCACTGATTCTTGCACAGAAACAAAGGGTTTCTGTGCAAGAATCAGTGACCTGGAAACAAACAGAAATCCTTTGTTTCTGTGCAAGAATCAGTGAGCCATAAATTGCCACTTTCAAGAGCACAGAAACTAGCGCTGATAGGCATAGTTTCCGTAGCTGTTTCAGGTTAGAAGAAAGAAGGGGTTTTGTTGGAGCTGATTTTTGTACATGTTTGTCCAAATTCTGAGTAGGTTTCTGCTCAATTAAAACTTTGCATTTAAGTCGGCCTAATTCTACTTCAGATTGGTCTAAAATCAATTACAGTTTCTGTTCGAGCTGATATTTTGCTTTTTCCGGTGTGACTGCGAGGCTCGCATTCCGGCTCCCGTGCCCACGAATATCATACATTTACTGTATCCAGTCTCGTTAGAGCACATCTGAAGCAGTCTGAGTACAAAGCATCAACGCAAAGAGACTCGAACGCACAGATAAACTCGTCATTCTGACGGTCGGTGAGGTCGTCAAACGCATTTGCCCCGAGCTCCTGACTGTTTGCTTGTTGGGCGGCAGTGGCATCCTTGGTATCTTCAAGCGACGGGTCGGCGAGGGCGGTCTTTCCCGTAGCCACGTGGCGAGCGACCTGGGACCGGTTGAGGACGCTGAGATAGAGGGCGGTTAAACTAAATTCCAAGCAGATCAGCGAAGAATGCGGGAAGGATTGGAGACTTTACACCATGAGGCCCGCGAGGACGGCGAAGCAGATCAAGGACGATGTGAGGCCCTTGTGGTACAGGGGAGCCTGTTCCGGGACACACCAGATGCAACTACAGGCAGTTAAACAGATGTGACACTTCCTTTGGACATCCATTCAGACACAACATTTATACCTTCAGATGCAACACACAGGCACAGATGCAACAGTCTGATCCAAAAACAGATGCAACAGTAGAAACATGAATATTTTGTTCTAAGTAATATTTGTTAGTATTGGTTAGTGTTGGTTAGGGTTGGTTAGGGTTCAGTTAGGGTTTGGTTAGTTAGGGTTAGGATAAGGGAAAGGTACGTCTATATATGCTGTTGGGGGAAATGCTGAGTTAATATTGTAACTATTTGTTAGGGTTTGGTTAGGGTTGGTTAGGGTTATTTTTTGTTCAGAGGAATATTAACTACCAGTGTGATACAATCAATTGATTGCTGTTGTGGTGTCGCATCTGGGCCATCGAAAACAGACGCACCAGCAGGCATGGAACGGATGTGACACCTGTCGTGTCTGTTTTCCTGCCTGTTGTCGCATCTGTATAATCCTCTGTGCCTGTTCGGTGGTATACAGGAAAGGCCCGACAATCTGCGTAGCTTATGAGAGTAGCTCACAATAGACGTTGCATGCTGACATTTCCCGCTGACTGTCCGATGAACAAGATACCTGTTGTGAGGGTCTTCTTAGTATGACCCACCTGCGGAAAGATGAGAACAGAGATGGGAGCATGAAGCCCATACTGTATTCTGCGACGACCAAGTATATATGAGGGGCGAGATACCAGGGTAGAAAGAGACCCTGTAAAAGATGCTTAGGTCACGTCATTCGCCTTCTGAGAGACAATGTTGAATGCCCACAGGTAGTAGGATCCAAGCAGCGCAGCCTTGGCATTCGAGGATGCACGATTTATTTTGAGGAGTGCAGCCGCCCCAGCGATAGGAGGAATTGTCAAGGCAATAAGAACAGGGAATTTAAGCTTCAGGCGTGTCGCTACGATGCCTCCAGCCAGAGTGGCAATGATTTGGACGACGCCAAACGGCATTTGAAGGAGAATTGTGTTTAGCTGATCAAAGCCCAGAGGTCTGACAATGAGGGGTCCAACTTGGGGCATAGTTAGATATGAATACATCAGTCATTGACAGGGAGGTAACTCACAAGTCAATATGCCGCCACTAGGGATACTGAAGGAGGTTAACTCAAATGATAGATGCAGATAAGACCAGCATACGCGATCGTGAAGATCAATAAGAACTAGTACCAGGTCTTGAGGTCAAACAAACATTCCTGCACTTGGTCCCATTTCCATTTTTTGGTCTCCGTCCCAGTATTGTTTGCGCGCAGTCGCTCAACAACGAGGATTTTGTCCTCGTGAGTGAGAAATCTTGCTGTCGTGGGCGAGTTTGGTAGGACAAGACTACAAACATTGGGTTGAATCATTCGTCCAACTCTGTATCACATACTAAACAGCCACAGAAAAGGCCACAGTGATGAGGCCAGTAAATAGGAAAATGATCTGGAATGACTTACTACAGCCACTTCCAAGCATGAAATAGGAACGAACCTGATATGGTTTCAATGAGCTATGAATATGTCCCAGCCCAAATGTCAGAATGGATCCAAACTGGCTGCTTAAGCAAGAATACACATGATACTCAGCCACTTACGACCGTAGTCATACCATTCATGGAGTACCAAAGTGTTGTCCGCTGAGTCTGTTCCACCACCACATGGCGGTAATAGTCACGAAGGTTGGGGTGACTGTGGCCTCAAAAAGGCCAAGGAAAGAACCGGGCGGTGACCAAGGTATTGAAATTGTGTGCAGTGGTCATCAAGCTGAGTACTACACCCTGTAATAGTCTGTAAATAGACACTTGTGGAAGTGAGAGCATATACCCAAGCCAAGATGTTGAAGGCCAGCCATTTTCCAACGGGCAAACGGACGAGAAAGAATGAAGAAACAGGTTGCCATATGAATTGTGCTAAGAGTTTCCGTGTCACTCTCTAGCCACGTGATGAGCAGACACTCACCGGCGTAAACAATACTGCCAAGTGCACTGTATTGGTAGCCAACAAGGTGGGTATTGTAAGGGCAACCCCGGAGGCCTGAGATCAAGGTCCTAGCAGGGGAGGATCCAAAGCGTGAACATTGGTAAGCGAATACAAATGAAGCTGACCTAGCAGGGGAGGATCCAAAGAGAAGAAACTCTAAGGGTCCACCTGCTAGGTAGCTGACTATATACTGCTTGTCCGTAGCTGCCGCTGTCGGGCACAGAAGGCTTGGGCGGCGTCGCAGGCGAGGTCCCAGGGCGACCGTCGGGAGGGCGTTGACGGATCGGTGATTGTGCGGGCGAGATGGAGGGCCGGACCGGAGTCGGAACCGGAGTCGGACCAGAATCGGGCGTGTCTCCGGGCCGAAAGGGAGGTTCCCCTGACATCACCCCCCCCTTTGAATGCGGCGTCTCGACGCATAGACCGGAACGGAATCGAGTCGAAGGTCGCCACCCGTAGCTGTAAGTTTTAGGCTAAAGGCCTATGTACAGCTAAAGAGGTGCTTGCCTACACAGTTATTTCCACCTAGGGCTAGCTGTACCTAGTGATTTAGGCTATTGAATTGATAATATTAATGATAGAATAAATGATTATATGATATATATAATTTAATAATTATGTAATATGATACTCTTAACTCCTTTTCTTCAGGCCGATGATCCGGTATATAGTTCAGAAGGCCTGTATCAACAACTTTCCTAATTAGGACAAAATGATGTATCATGAGATAGCCATCAAAAGTACTGATGGCAATCAAAAATGGTTCCACAATAAAATCATTATCTAGATAGGTACATTGCCACAGGTGCTAAAATACCAGATAAAGAATAATAATATATTTTTGAAAAAGTGTTACACATGTCACATTTGGCTCTAACAGAGGCCAGTAAAGGGCTGCCTAGGTAGGGCTAACCCTGTAGGCAATGGGTTCCCTAGCTGTACCTACTGGTTTTAGCCTAAATATTACCACTATGGCTCAGGTCGCGGAGGCGATGTGTCGTGGCTTGCCAGGGTACTTACAATAGAACTCCGCGATTTTCTCCAGGGCGAAGACGCAGTCGAAGCGGACCCATTGGTCGTGTGATGCGTCGTAGCCTTTCCATCTGACGAAGTAGTTCAGCCGTTTATACCTCACCCTTGCGTCCAGGATTTCCTCTACTTCCCACTCCGGGACTCCGTCCTCGAGGTCCGGACGGGGCTGGTCGTAGCCGGGGCGTCCGTCGAAGGGGTCGTCCTGGGCGAGCTCGAGCTTGATGACGGGGAAGACCGGGTGGAGCTTCGAGTAGCGCGGAGGGAGGTCGAGCTTGTAGGCACCTTTGCTGATCTCCGCGACTATCTTGAACGGTCCGAGGCAGCGATGGGAGAACTTTTCCGAGGGGCGAGTCGTCCTGATGTCAGAGGCATCCAGCCAAACACGGTCGCCAACCTTAAACTCCGGAGACGGAGTCCGTCTCCGGTCGTAGTAGCGCTTGTACTCCTCTTTGGCCTTAGTGAGCGCGGCCTTGGCTTCAGCAACACCAGTGGCGATCCGGTGATAAGCCGCAGTCTGGGACAGACCAGGAAACGACTATTTTTGTCGATTTTGTTGCTCAGCGCACGTCTCAGAGTTGACATGAGTCCCGAATGGTCAACTAGGGAGTTACCTGCACAAGAACCTATCAAAATCCAGTCAAATCCTATCAAATCGCTCATGGTGATTCCAAAATCTTGACTAGGAAAAGTTCGCAGAGCCCGTTTCTCGCTAGAATCCATCCAATTCTATGCAAAATACCCAAAGGGAGTGTATTCTAAAAGGCATATTCGGTTTGGCACTCAGTGGAGACTCGAAATCGACAACTCCTAGATTAGGGCCACCCCTATCTCTGTTGGTATCGACGACTGACATCATTGGAACGTGGTTTCGGATCATGCTGGAGGATCGAGAGTGCCAAGGGACGGTTAAACGGCGAAAACCTACTCAATTGACTGGGGCCTGGACCTGTGATCAACGGCGACTCTAAAACACTGTCGAGGAACAGATCATCTGAACATTGGAAATGCGCCAGGAGAGTTGGGACAACCACCGCTGAGGCCATATGCACAAGATACGAGTTATGGGTGTCAATCGAAAGCTGGGAAGCAGAGCTATCCACTTATCCTACTCAAGATCGAGGGATTCTTCACAAGCAAAACTAGATGGTCGCGAACACGGAAGATTTACACAGGTCATTGACTCCAATACACGCGATACCAGTCATCTGGACCTGGATTTTCGACTCTGGGCCGTATGGCGAAACGATACCTATACAATTATGCACATGGACTACTTTTCTTACTCGAGATTTTCCCTGATTCTATCAATTTCTGTTTAGTATTTATATCTCTGTTTTGTATTTGGCAGGTTCACGGATTGCCCCGCTCTACTAGGTGCATCTGGGGATCTAGCTCGTCAATCTATCTTGCTAGCTCTTTCGAAATAGTATCATCGCGTCGGAAGGATTATTGGTTGAGGGTTTCGGTTGCTGAATACAAGAGTTCCGGTTGCTGTTTATTGGGTTTCGGTTGCTGGTCGAGAGTTTAAGACAGTTAGTTCCTGACTCGAGACAACTCAGAGGGTTTAAGGCAGTTAGTCCTGATCCAACAAGTATAAACTCTCCGGGCATCGTATTGGCGCTTCTCTATTGCTGAGTTTCGTCGATAGTACGCTTTGGGGCACAACAAATCAACGTTTTTCGCAAGAAACTCGTATCAACCCTACAACCTTACACATTTGTGCCAAGGCTCTGTTCACAGGGGTCTGTTCTCGCACAAGGAGTCGACGATATTTTGGGTTTTGTGACTTTTCCTACTCGATATTATACAACTTTCTCTCTATTTCAAGTGGAGTTTTGGTTGTTTTTGTTGGTTTGGTTAGTTAGAGGCTCATTTTGCTTTGTCCCCACTCCGCACTCATCATCTGGAGCCCACCGCGAGGGGTGATCGAGTATTGCTGAAACTTGGTTTCGTGCAATTTGTGACAAGCAAGAAGAAAAGCAAGCGCCCACACGCTTGGATCGAACGTCAAAATACCACCAAAAGGGAAACAGCGAGATCTAACTGATTCCCAACCGAACGATTTTCCGAATCTACTACGCGGAGTTGGAGAACTGAGGCCGACACCGTTATTCGTACCAAAACTATCTGCGAGCGCGAAACCGAGGACTACCCGTAACTCGCAAGGCGATCGAAATCGGACAATCCTGACAAAATCGACAAAAACTCAAGCATCTTCGTCGAAAAGACCGACTCAAGCATCAACACAAAAGCGCGTTCAATCGAAATCTACAACAAAGCGCAAAACCAACACAAACTCAGCGACTGTCGAAGAAGAACAACAATCTCCGACACCATCTTCGCCTCTAACCGACTTATCTGAGAGCGAAATCAACACGAATCGGCTTAACGAACCTCCGATTCAACAGAACAACGAAAACATGGACGATGGAAATGGTGGAAATGGCGGGAACGGAGGTGGCGCAGGTGGCGCAGGTGGAAATGGAGGTGGTGGAGGTAGAAACGCTCAAGGAGGAGCAGCGGTGCGGTTCAAGGTGCCTGAAACATGGGATTCTGGTCGTCCTAGCTTCGATGGAAAGACTCCTGCCAAGTTGGAGAAATTCCCAGAGGAGTGCGAGCGAATCATCGTGCAGGGAGGCATCGACAACGACGCGGAAAAGAAGGAGACGGTGCTGAGGTATCTCGATACTAAGCATGTGAAGGAAGCGTGGCGGAATCTGACAGCGTTTGCTGGAGGAGACTTCGATGGGTGGAAGGCGGAGATACTGAAGATGTATCCGGAGTTGGAGGAGGTCAACAAAGGGTCGAGGAGACGTTTGAAGGAAATTTGCGCCGAGGCACGGGGTGCTAGTCGTGAAGATCTGGGTCTAGTGATTCGATTTTGTGCATTCTTTTTGGCAGAATCCGAAAAACTGCTCAGACCACCATCGCAAATCACCAACAAGGAGTTGGTATCGTCGATTCTTGGTACGCTCAGCGACGATTTTGCTTCGGCAGTCGAAGTTGTATTGAATCAGCCGAATGTGGCGA